TGCAGCGCTCATCCGGTCTCTGCCTGTTGAAGAGCAGCCTAAGCAGCTTATCGTCACTCGTAAGGGTCTTCTGGATCCTTTGGAGGTGCATTTGCTGGACTTCCCCAACATCTCTATCCGTGCTTCGGAACTGCAGTTGCCTTTCCAGGCTGCGATGAAGGTCGAGAAGCTCGCTGATATGATTCTTCGGGCGACTGAGCCCCAGATGGTTCTGTTCAACCTGTACGATGAATGGCTGAAGTCGATTTCCCCTTACATTGCCTTCTCTCGTCTAATTCTGATCCTGCGCGCTCTCCACGTGAACATCGATAAGGCCAAGATCATTCTCAGACCTGATAAGAGTGTCATCACTCAAGAGCATCACATCTGGCCCACGTTGTCCGACGAGGACTGGATGAAGGTTGAAGTGCAGCTCCGCGATCTCATTCTCAATGACTATGGCAAGAAGAACAATGTCAATGTTCAGAGCTTGACGAGCAGTGAAGTTCGTGACATTATCTTGGGTATGGAGATCAGTGCACCCTCGCTCCAGCGCCAGCAAGCCGCCGAGATCGAGAAGCAGCAGGAGGAGCAGAAGCAGCTTACCGCTGTTACGACGAAGACGCAGAACGTTCGGGGTGAGGACATCATTGTCACCACCACGTCGCAGTACGAACAGCAATCCTTTGCTTCGAAGACTGAGTGGCGTACCCGTGCTATCGCGACCTCCAACTTGCGGACTAGGTCGAACAACATCTACATCTCTTCTGACGAGGTTAGGGATGAGGGTTACACCTACATCATGCCTAAGAACGTCCTCAAGCGATTCATCACCATTGCTGATCTGCGTGTGCAAGTTGCCGGTTTCCTTTACGGTAGCTCGCCACCCGACAACGATCAAGTCAAGGAGATTCGCACGATCGTCATGGTTCCTCAGGTTGGTAACACGCGTGAGGTTCAATTGCCCCAGCAACTACCCCAGCATGACTACTTGAACAACCTCGAACCTCTTGGTGTGATCCATACTATTTCCGGAAACGAGCCACACTATATGACGGCCGCGGATGTGACGCAGCACGCTCGCTTGATGAACGCCCATCCTTCTTGGGACAAGAAGACGGTTACGATGACTGTTTCCTTCACCCCTGGATCGGTTTCACTTGCCGCGTGGGGACTCACTCCTCAGGGCTACAAGTGGGGTGCTGAGAATCGGGATATGACATCGGACCAACCCCAGGGGTTCTCGACTAGCATGGGCGAGAAGTGCCAGCTTCTGCTCAGTGACAAGATCCGTGGGTACTTCCTTGTTCCGGAGGATAATGTCTGGAACTATAGCTTCATGGGAAGCTCTTTCGGTAGTGTGGAGAAGCGGCCAGTGTATGTCAAGATCGACACGCCGCTGAAATTCTACGACGACCAGCATCGCCCACTTCACTTCCAGAACTTCGCTGAGCTGGAAGATATCTGGGTTGATCGTTCGGATAATTTTGCGTGATTGATGACTTTCGGCGGCGTTGGATGATTTCATGTCACGTTCCTCTTCTCATGGGTTTCATATTCTTGTCTTTGTAGCTAGCCTTGATTTTCCTTTTTTTTTTTTCCCTTTCCCTCTTCTCCTTAATCCTTCTCTTCTTCCGATTTGTCTTCATTCCAGCAGAAAAATTATTTCCCCTCATGTGTTGTTACAGCGATTATTGGTTGGCATCTGGGATCGAAAATGAGGGGGTGGGGGGTTGAGGTGATTCAATCAGGGGGTTTCACTTGTATTGCTGTACCATATTTGTATGTAGCCTACCTGGTGTCTTAGATGCTAATTGAATCTGACGATCATTGGTTGATCTTGAAGAACTGGATCTTGGCCATGTGTAGACTAATGCTAAAGTCCCAAAGTGCCAAAGTGCTGTTACACTAACGGTGTTTTGGTCCTAGGGGATCGACCATGTGGGTGTGAGCTGGAAACTTACCGTCAATCATCATCGGAGAATGATCCGTTTTTTTAATATCGGGACCATGTGTGAGTCCACTTAAGTAGGTTTGTCGTGGTAGTTGCTTAACTCAGTGAGGCCATGCAGATTGCAGAAATGAGTTTAAGGTGGATTGACTGGTTGCACCAGTGTGGGTTGATCAGCAAACCTCGACTCGATGGCTGACACGAACCGGAACGAACGAACCTCGAAGGACCGGAGAAGAATTTGATTGTGTGTTGCTTGTTTCAATTTGACTCGTGGTTTGTTGATTATTGTTATGGTTGGTTATTGTTATTGTTACTTATTTTTTTCTTGTTTGTTGGTACAGAGCCGATTGTGGATTGTGTTTGATTGTTTGCCTGATTGTTCTGCCTCAGCTGCTTTCCTTCCTGCCTTTTCTGGTGTAACTACAGTACAGTATATTTTTTTTCTCCCACCGTGGACCTTTTTCTTTTTCTACTCCTTCATCTTGTTGTTGCCCTGCTGTGCCCACCACAGCAGAGTGGAAAAAGTGCCCCGAAAACCCACACTCTTTTGATTCTGATTTTTGATTCTGATTTGAATCGGTCCTTCTTGCTTTTCTTTTCTCTCCTTCTTCAGCAACAGCGGCTCCAGCTAGCTCTCAAACAGTGCCTGCCCCTAGTTCGTGGCTTCAAAACCACCGCCCGTTGCCCGTATTCCCGCTCACGTCCGAGTCATCACCGTTCGTGAACTTCGTGCTATCTTTAGTTCTAAAGAATAATGGACAGCACTGGTCTGGTTTACGTTTGAAACCAAGCTCCTCCGCTCCGTTCTCAATCTCCCTCCAGTGGTTCGATGAAATCTAATCATTGCGTTCTGTTTCACCACTGCTTCAAGAGCCCAAGCCCTCCGGGGGTGGGAATAAAGTCAAAACACGCCTGTCGGAATAGCTTGCCTTGTGCCGCAAGCCTGCACGCCTGCAAGATGCAATGGGCACAGGTCCCACCAAGTCCGACTCCGAGACCAGCCCGGAGTCCGGAGCCTACGCCCGGTTAAGGCTACTTCAACGCCAGGCTCTGGAGGGGTCTTACGTGTTGTGTATAAGCTCCGTTGCTCTACCCGTGGACATGATTCATGACAGCCATGCTCATTGACTAAGTAGGCAATAGAGCGGGCTTAAAACCGCCCGCAACAAATCATCGGTGGCCATCAGCTCTAGGCCTCCATCCCCCCCCCCCCCTCGTGCGCCCACACCCACTCGCGGGCATAGACAATCATGACACCCACGCGCTAAGCTCTCGGCCTCCGACCGTTGTCGGGGCTCGTCCGCCAGGGTAATCTAACAGACACGAGCAAATAAGGTTGACAGACGCTCTCACGAAAAGGGTCAGTCCGGCCTTTCCATTGTTGATGGGGTCACTGTGTACTCAGTACGGAGTAGCAAAAGCCAAGGGAAAGATGGTTTTATCATGGTCACCCTGTCTAGTGACCTCCCGGCGCAAGGACCCAGAGCGAAAGATTCCCCCGTGAGAGACCAGTCAGAGGAACAGAAAAAGGGGAAAATAGACGTGGACAAACGGTTGGACCTCGAAGCTAACCAGCCACTTTTTTTTTGTGCGGGCGGCACGATGCTTGCAGACCATATCCCGAAGGTTGCTGTATCCTTCTCAACCTATCTATCTATCAACCTATCTATCTATCGAGTGGATGTGGGTTAGGCGGTGGTTGAGTTCCCGCGCGCCTCCTGCCCCCAAAAGGGCTCCCCCCAAAGCCTTTTTCGGGATTATATACTCTCTAAGACTCCACCATCACTCATGAGAAGGCTCGGCCGGAACTCACCTGCCTAGTCATGATGATGGCCCACTAAACAACAAACTAGCCCTTCTTCCGCTAGTGGTTCAACTCACCCTGTTCAGGTGGATGTCTCGCACGACGACTGCTCTCATTCCTCCTCCGCTATTGGCGTTTCACTGGGTGGAGTTGCTGCGACGACCTACGATGGGCCTTGTTCTGACAGGGGGCAAATTCCCTGAGCGAGTTAGGAGCACACCAGCAACAGGTTTGACTCCCTTAACCCGAATCCACAGAGCCCAGAGGTCACTCAACCCACGTTCGTATCCAATAAGTTAACTTAAGATTATGTTAGGCCTACGTATGGATTGGGCTTGGATCTCCCCGCTTCTAGCTGATCAATCATCCAGAATGATGTCCAAACGCCGCCAGAAGCAAGCTGGGCGCCGATAACCCATCCAGGAAACCTCTTAGACTCTTTGTCTATTTTAATGTTTCATACTTGTACAGTATCTCCCGGCAGTTGACTCTAATTTCCTTCTCCACGACTGTCTGCCATGCCTTGGCAACCACCAGACGGGCCGGCGGAAGGCAAATCGTAGCCTCATCCTTCGACATCGCTGGCTCTGCTAGCTATGGCCGTTGTTCACACTGGGCCCCTCTGCAAACTAAGCTTGACTGGAATGCCGATCCGTCCGTCAAATGGGGGATTTATTTTCCCAGCCCACCTGCACCATCCTGTATTCGGGCTGTATGGAGTATCTCCGTGTCTCGTCGAAAATTCCCCAGTACCCTCTTATTTATTACTTTTTTTCCCTTTCCAGAACCTTACAACTACCGCCCATTCTGGCTGAACTGGCCTATATATCCTAGAATAAGTCGAGTCACTGCACGGGACTTTTACATGCAGCTGGAAGAAGTATCCCGGCATCGCCTCCACTTGTCTCTTCCCCATCTGTTTCTGCATCTCCAGTGACGGGGCTTGACGGTTTAACATCTTGGCCGTCTTGACCGTTTGCTTCCCATTATAGAGGCCTGTGGCTTGACTCTGTAGATTCGGTTGAGTCGGAACCAAATTTGAGGTGCAGCAGACGGATGCAGGGTTACTGGCAATTTCCGAAAAACTTGGTCTTCAACGTTTTCTTGATCTAGGTGAGTGCGTTATCGCTTATATATCCATCATGTTTACCCTGCCACTGGTTTGGTTCTTTCTCCTCATGTTGGCCAGACCGTGCGTCGCCTTCAGGTGTCCCGCTTTTCCCTTCAAATGCGTTCGGTTGCTTTCGATGAGGCCTCTTTATTTCCATCCATTTCCCGTGGGATGAACAAGTTCTTTGACTTGGCGCTTCGGTCACGTCAGTCCGTTTATTCAGCCTTTCCCTAACCTCGACTAGTACTGGAAAACTGCTTTGAACAACGCGATTCTGTTGTGACGAGACTGCGATCTCAGCTTGCGAGACTTTAGATGACGAGAGATATTGGCTGATGCTCAACCCACTGTCAACTTCGGAATCAAGCTCTTTTTATCACTGGTTTATTCTCGAATCCAAACTCCGTCCTACCAGCGAAAGGCCTCTTCTACTGGGACCGACTCCCTCGAACTCACCTCTTACCATTTTCTAAGCCGCGTTGAGCAGCCTGCCAGGGCTTTCAAGCTCTAGCGGCGCAGATGTATGTCCGCTACTCTGGCGGATCCGTATCGTGACTATGCGATTGAGTACTCTCAACATGCCACCTGCAAGCCCGAGCAACAGGAAAGCACGCTTGTTTATCACACGCCACAGCCGCACCTCCACCATCACAAACAGGCCGAACCCCCCTTCTCGCAACCGCATTCTCACAGCAGCGCAGCATTCTCACAGCATCATGCAAGCGCGACCGTCCTTCCAACGGCGACCCCTCAGCCATCAGTGCATGATATGCCACAGACCGTTGTCCTTGGCCATACGCCGATGCTCCCACGGCAACTTCCCGTCCAGTATCCCCCACCCAGCTTCGAAATCCCTCCACTCCACCGTGGCAAGAAACGGCCTCATTCAGAGACAGAAGGAGATGAAACAGACCATGGCCTTAGACCTCAGTTATCGGTCCTTCCCGCAGACGGGCCGGCCGAGCATGGTCACTCGCCGGAGATGCTCTTCTCTGTCCACGGGGCACCGTCCCAACCGCCTCCGATGCCAGGGCACGGCTTTGGGCACGCAGAGTCAGTTGGGCTGCCGCAACACCACCACCACCATCGCCTCCCGCCCCATGCGGCGCTACGGACCCCTGGGCGCCATGGTATGAATGTGGAAGCCTCGCCTATGCCGTCGGGTCCTCCGAGTGTTGTAGGCCAGCCCGGGATGCCTGAACCGGCTCCCCGGCCTCGAGGCCCCAAACTAAAGTTCACACCGGAGGAAGATGCTCTGTTAGTGGAATTAAAAGAAAACAAAAACCTAACTTGGAAGCAAATTGCGGACTTCTTTCCAGGCCGGACGAGTGGTACCTTACAGGTTCGATACTGCACCAAGTTGAAAGCGAAGGACGTCACCTGGAGCGATGAAATGGTAGGTCTCTTCTTATGCAAGGATACACTTCTGCGTATGTGAAGTGGTGGGCTAAGACAAATCAAAACAGGTCCAAAGACTGCAGCGTGCCCTTCAAGAATACGAGAACGATCGGTGGCGTATCATCGCAGGGAAGGTTGGCAATGGCTTCACACCAGCCGCTTGTCGCGAGAAAGCGACGCAACTTCAATGACTGTCATTTGAACATAATCTCACTACGTCCCATTACTCTGTCTAATGTCTCAAATAATGCGTTCATTTGTCACGTTCTTCCTCGATGTGCAGATACGTAGGAGCCGGTTGTGAGGTTCATGGCGTGGTCTGACACCAGAGGGGGGGTTAATGTACGGTACGGAGTAGATTGATTGATAGTGTATGATAAGTCGATTCTGCTGCAGAATGAGGGGCCCTGCGCCGGTCTCACTTTGCAGGCGCTAATGCTCACTAAAGCAGTGGCTCGTCTCGTGGCAGCGGCCATATTCGTCAGGCAGTAAGGCTAGGCCCTACGTTGACGCAAAGAGACCCCCCGCGCAAGCCCTGTAGCCCTAAGCCCTGAGTCCATGTCCCGATGAAGCTCATCTGCTCAAGTGGCTTCTGCGGCCGGCCGTTGTAACTCCGCAACCAATCATCCCACACGGCTGACTAAGTCCATACGACCACGGGCCGAAGCGGCTTCAAACTCACCTCAACCTCCAAACTCCCTCTCCTCCAAACGTCTCGCCTTGTCTGCCGTCATTGCATCACTATCCACCAGGACAATGTTCCTTCAACGCACAGCCTTCGCCCTCGCCAGGCGCACTCCCACCCGGGCCATTGCTGCTCGCCCCTTCTCCTCCTCTGTTACCCGTTGTACGTGACCCTCAGAGTCAGACCAAGACCGCCTTTTCAGCCCACCCCAGAGAGCATCGACCTGTGTCTGTGTGCTCCAATGGCGCCGACATCGGTCAATTCTATCTCGTACTGCATTCTCGGTATTGGTACATGCACTGACATTGGCTCTTCACCTCTAGTCGACCAGGCCAAGAAGTGGCAGGTCAGCAAGGAGGGCAAGATCCTGTCTTTCGAGGGTAGGTACCCGCACATCCTCATCGTCGCGCAGACGTCAATTGTTCGAGCCTGCTTCACTTGCACCATCTTCCCTGTGCTTCTTCCGCGAGCGGCAGGTGCAATTGAGGGGGTGAGGGCAACTGTCGAGCTTCCGCGCTGCAGGCACTTGGATTTTACGGATCGTATGATGTTTCCCCGGATCTGATGCTAATTGTGCGCTTTTCCTGTCCCACAGAGATCAAGACCGAGGAAGACCTTGTCCCCCCTGGTGCCAAGCCTGGTACCATTCCCACCGACATCGAGCATGCCACCGGTCTCGAGCGTCTCGAACTTACCGGAAAGATGCAGGGCATCGACATCTTCGACATGAGACCTCTGGATGCCTCCCGCAAGGGTACGTCGAATTTCTGGCCGCGGGATTTATGTCCACCGGACGTGGTGCCGGCTGTGGATGTAATCGATAATCGTTTCGGGTTCCTGACATAAGTGAACTGCAGGAACTCTTGAGAACCCCATCATCGTCAACGGTGCCGGTGATGAGCAGTACGCTGGTTGCACTGGTTTCCCCGCCGACTCTCACCAGGTCAACTGGCTCACCGTAAGCTTTCGCTGAATCCCGACTCAATTCATTGGACCTTGCTCGGATACTGACTGGCTAGGTCTCCCGTGACCGCCCTCTCGAGCGCTGCGGCGAGTGCGGCAACGTCGTCAAGCTGAACTACGTTGGTCCTGAGGAGGACCCCCACGCCCGTAAGTTATAGTGGCATTACATCATCGGTTGGGCACACTTGCTAACGAATGTCCCTCGCGGCTAGACGACCACCACGGCCACGACCACCACGGCCACCCTCCCCATGAGGAGCCCAAGACCTTCGCCGACTACGTCAAGCCTGAGTACTGGTACCGGTAAATATTTGACACTTCCACAATGGAGCGATTGTCTTTTATCTTGATCCATTCCCAGTAACGTGGGGATGGGTTCTTTGCAAATGGGTTCGATAAAAGGACAACTGTACGTGTACAAAGACAGGGCAGGGACGGAAAGGAAGAGCGGAAATCGAGAGAGGAGAGCTCAAGAGGGTCGTTCGGGAAAGACGAGAGAGATGTCACAGGAAATCGTCCGGATGGAGCTAGCAATTGGTCTTCTGTTTTCTTTAATATTTTTTGAGGAATGCTGTGTATGAGAAAACCCATGTGGCTTTTTTACTTTTTTTCACTCTACTTTTTCCCCCGACATACTCATAGGTGTCTTGTCCTCTCTCTCCCCTCTCGTTCTCGTTATTGTTTCCCGGCCCGACCTGTCTACCTCTGTATTTGTGGTTTGACCCCTTGTGCACCTATCTATCTCTTTCTGCTGGGTCTTCGTCTGTATTGTTGTTGTGTTGTTTTCAAGACTTCTGGTTTTGGTCTACCTTGTATGCCTGTAGAATAAGTTGGAGCTTTGGGGGAATTAGAGGATAGTTTGCTCCGCTGGCTATAAAAGAGAATTATGCCTTTCGGGACTAAACCCTTCCGAGCCCTAGGCTGCTGTCGGGGAGGGAGGTCGGTTTCTGGTCTGGTTATATCTGTGGAGTAGTATACGCTATCCGAGATGTCACACTGATCATTGATGTCATTGACCCTAGCTTGAGCTGGACCTGGAGCATATCACCGAAATGATGCATTCCACCTCATGAGGTATAAATGAATGCTGTTGCCCTACACAGTTTTAAGTTCTCTACCTGAGTTGACTGCGCCAGTGGTAAGAGATTATACCCATCCATCCCGTTTTGGCAAGAAAAGAGAAAACGAGCAACCAGACTCAACCACAATATCAATCGCGAAAAAAAAAAATTTTTTTCCACAATCGCACAAAGTGTATAACAAGAAAAGATCCCTCATCTCACTTTCTTACCAAGTCATAGCAAGCTTAGCCAGGAGGGAAAGGTGGGTGGGTGTCCTCCGGGGTGTGGCATCGGGGCGGTCAAGCCGCGGAGAGGATGAGATGCGTATGTAACTTATGGCATGATGTCCTCCAGTCCGCCCCGTACCCGTACAGCTAGCTAACTTAGCTAGTAACTTACGGAGTAGTCCAACGGTTCCCCTGCTTCCTTATCCTTGCCCTTGCCCTTGCCCTTATCCTGGTCCTGGTCCTGGTCCCCGGACCGGCGGGCCGGCTGCTCGCGGGAAACCTGTCACGGTCATTTGTCCGAAGTAGTGTACTACTGTAGGTTAACTTACTGCACCCTACAACTCCGGCGTACCAGGTTACATTTCTTTCTCATGTGTCGTGGTTATTCTCAATCTCCAGGATATACCGGTGCTAGAGCCAGGCTGTTCGGGTAGACTACCTATTCTGTCCAGTATGTCAGATTTATCTGATGAATGATGGCCCGGATGCAGTGGTGGACCGGATGCTTACGGCGGGGAGGGAGCTGAGCTGAGCTGAGCTGAGCTGAGTCTGCCAGGAGGTAGTGGGAAGTGTGCTCTTCCCGAATAGGCAAGAGACTCGGGATTCCACACTAGTCTGGTTTGATTCGTTTTCTACTCCCGGGTAGTTGTTGTAGATAACTACCTGAGCATGATTTCTATATGTGAGAGTAGATTAATCTTAGACTACCTTCTGGACTGCGGGGAGTGGACTAGAAAGATGTGAGGTGATCGTACGTATTCTTATCACTGGCTTTTTCTTGTTTCATTTGTTTATTTTAGCCTGGCGTGGGTGGGTTCAGGGTGCGTCGCGGGGGGTTTTTCCAGACAGGGCCCCGGGGGGAAGGTGGAACTGCCGATTGTGATGGGAATGGGTGTGGATGGGATGGCGGTTCATTCCGCCATCAGATCAGGGAAGATGGTGATCATCCTTCGGGCCAGTAATCTCTCTGTATTCCGTGGTGCAGGAGATTGTTCGGTGATTTCGTGAGTATGATCTGATTGACACAGGCACTGGCAGGGCAGATTGAGCTTGATAATGGATTGGTCAGCATCCCACCACGCACACTCCTGAGCTTGGACTCGTATCGGCGGCCGAAGCTGGGATTCTAGATCGACCAAGGTCATTGGGTTGTATGAATCGGGATGAGCTTGGTTGGGAATATGCGATGTGGCTTTGGTGGGGGATTTTGTGCTTCGGGTTGCACTCGATGGTGTTGTCATATGCACGGAGGACTTGACATGCGGCTCTTCAATGCTGCGTCCTTTATTGACTATTGTTGATGTTTTGAGCATCCCAATCCGAAATAGTGGCGTCTTATAACAATGCAATCAATCTTATGTGCTCGAATGAGCAATATTAGATAACTGCTATAGTCTAAACAAGACAATGAAGTCTGTGCTCCCCATACCATGCGTGCCATAACAAGCATCGTATTATACAATAGAATATAACTTTTATGGCTCGTCTTATATCACCCTGACGACCCCTTCGACTGACCTGACTCGCACCAAAAACATTTATACTTCAATCCAGCCCCCGCTCAGCACTCGCAGAGCGAATTCGGTGTTCAGAATGCTTCATCATGATCACCGACCGAAGTAACGCCGCTCGAGGTACCGAAGAGGAGGATACACCAGGCCTGTCCAGGAGAACGCGACATAGAGGCCCATCTAGTTCACACGTCAGTGGAGGAACACGGCAAGCGAGACCCAGAAACAACTTACATCAGCACCATACTCGCCCACCAAGCGCGCGATGGGTCCGATATACCACACCTGCGCCATGCACAGAATCGCTCCGGCCCAGCCAACCAGGAAGGCGATCAAAGCGGCGATGCCAACGGGCAGCTTAGACGGATCGTTCCAAGCGTACCAATTGTACCCGCTACGGAACCGGAAGATGAACTGTTCTTCCAGAATGATGACCACCCACATGACCACCCAATAGCCCATAAGAGCCAGGAAGTTGGTGAAGATATCAGAGAGGTTGCTTCGGCCGGCCAAGGCGCATACAGTGAAGATCACTGCTCCGAAGGTGTTCCAGAGCACTCGCGGAACCTTTTCCGCATAACGTCCGAGAATCTGGAAGTCGACTCCAGCCGAGTAGGAAGGAGCCACGGTGTTGGCGATCAAACCCAGCGCGACAACCACAGAGCAGAATTTGCCAAACCCACCCAGCGGGCTAAAGCCTTCGACAATGAGGGCTCCCGCACCGACGGAATATGCTTCGCTATATTTCGCATAGTTGGCGACACCCGATCCGAGGCCAGCACCGCAGATGATCGCCATGGTGAACGAACATGTCAGCCCCGCCAGAGAGAGAGAAGAAAGGGCCCATTTAGAGGTATTCTGGGGGTAGTAGACAAAGAAGTCCGCTGCAAGTGGCGTGTAGGTTATTGCGGAACTAACACAGAGGGAGAAGAACGACAATCTAGATTGCGAATGGTCAACTTGGAACAAGAGACTAAGTATCAAAGAAGTTACCTGTTTCCAGCAATTGTGCGAGCGTCCCCAGTGGACGAGGCCGAAAGGTCGAAATGTTTCGCGGAGACGCCAAACAATATAGAGACCACCACGAGCTGAGGAAGAAACGCAAAGCTAAAAGCAAGTTAGCGCCGGCTTGGATAAAACAAGGTGAAGCGTAGCGCACCGTTCGTAATAATGAAAGACTTGAATGCCAAACGTGGCAATGACCCAGGTGATGATAGCGATAATCACAATACCTTCCAGATTGTCAGTATAGTCACGTTAAGCGACTGTCAAATGGGACAACGCACCCACAGCAACCGACATGTTTCCATGTGGTGACACAGCAGATAAGATTTGGCCGCCCACCACCGAGTCGATCAGACAGTAACCAAGCATTTGAATCAGATTCAAGATGACAATCAGCTTGCTAGGCCACCAGCCCATAGAGTAGCGTCCGAATGCCTGGGGGCATGGAGATTAGCGGAAACGCTTGAGCAAATGCTTCATCTTTCACTCACCATAGTCCGAATACCAGATACTGGACCCCGAGTAGCCATCCATGCCGCGGGAATGCTACCAAGCAAAGCCCCGAAAACGGCGCAAAGCGCCGTATCCCGGAAGCTCAGACCATAGGTAGCAGGGCCCAGCATGCCGAGAGTGATATTGTTGGCTGCCAGATTGATAGAGACCCAGAGCAAAAACGACTGCAGGTACGCAACCCAGGTCAACTTGGTCATCCGCTCATCCTCCGGTACCCGTTCGATACCGCGAGCCTCGAAGTTGTACTCGACCAATTGCTGCTCGAATCTCTTGATATAGGAGGTCAAGCGCGTCGGCGCACGCGCCGTCCGATTGATATTTTCTTCGCCATTGTCCATAGAACGAGAGGTATCATAACCTGACTGGACGTTGGCGATGTCCTTTTCAGAGGAACGCCTCATGGCGGCGACTGGTTGTTCGGAAGACATGCTGTTGCGGTTGATCAGTACAAACCGGTCCAAAGAAGCGGGATTGATAATAGCGAGAAGCGCGCATGAGTCCTTTCGCTGGAATTATCCAGATCAAGTTCAACCGTATAATCTCAGAACGAACAACGTAGTTATCACACCTTTTCTGGGGCCCTCGCTCGCTAGCAGATGAAGTAACTAACCCTTCCCACACCGACAGAGAGCGAGCGCCCCAGATAGTCTGAGTAACGTACAGCTGTCGAACACCGGTCTTCATGCAGGCAGATTACTTAGATACCTTGATCGACAGACAAAACCACGCTACTCGTCTTCATGATAGCCGTCCCTTGCATATGGTTCTGCGAGAAGACGGGAGGCCTGTATGTACGGGGACGTTATGATTGCGATGGGGGGGAAGACTGTGGCGACCAGACCTGGTTCAACACGATCTCAATTGTGCGTCAGTCATACTGAATTCAACAGAGTTTTGTGGCAAACCATTATTTTGGGGGCGGGGGATTGGCAGCCAAAAGAAAAAGCGGCTTGATTGAACGCAATGAACAATTCCACTACTAACCTGAGCACTTATCACTGACGAATTGCGCAATGCACACTGGCAATGGCTTGTACTATAAGGCGAAAAAAGCCCGAGAGTGTGAGAGAAACACAGGACAGAAACAGAGAGGAGAGAACCCAGTGTTGTCAATGACTGCAATGTGAGCGAAAGGTGGAGCGGGTACAGTGAAAACCCCCAGATAGATTTTAACGGCGGCGGCGGGGTCTGGATCGAGTCATAGTCTCCTCATAGGTGGGTGGCTTTGTGGCCGCGGACTTGCCGCGGACTTGCCCGCCGCCGCCCCCCGATTTCGGATGACATTTCCTACCCGTGCGTTATACTATTCAGTGACCCAGTAGTACGCCGTTGCCTCTACTAATTACCCACTACGTATACTATACTAAGAATACAGGTGCATGTTATGCGGCTAATCCCCTCACCGACATCCAAGATCTGGGCCTCATGGGTAATGCCCCCAATCACATCCTGCTCATGTGGTAAGCTGTTTGTCTGCCACCTACCTTCTTGTTCGCTAGCGACCTGCAGGTTGCTCTGCAGAGCTTTCAAATGCAGGCACATCAGCATTGTCCTCTACCGTCTACTGTGTGACTCTTGCCCTCTACCCAAGTTTCCAGACCCATAAAGAAGTCTATTTAGAGTAACCGAGGACATACGCGACAGGGGTTCAAATTCACCAGCAATGTGTATCATCAAAAATGGAGACGACAGCCCTGGAAACAACTGAAGCCGCAAAGGAACGCGAGAATGTGAGAGGATGGAGGACTGACAAGTAAAAAGTAAGAAATGAACAAACGCAACCTAACGCCGACGACCCTTCGCCAAGAGCTTTGCATACTATGAAGAGAAACCGCTGTGTGGCAATATGAAAACACAGGCTTAGATCAGCTTAAGTCATATCCCATGCCTTAGATCGACCAGTGGGCAAGAATATGCAGATTGTCATCACGTCGTTATCTTTCGTAAACTCTAGAGGTCCTTGAAATGTTCTTTCGCATACTGTTCACAGGCCTATATCGGGAAATGTCAGTCGGTTGCGCTGGGGCTGGTCACTTTGAGAACTCGCCTTGGCTGGCTTCCCAACTTTCTGCCCGATTACTTTCCACTTGTTCGCCTCGTATTCTTTGATCGCATCGCGAAGCGCTACGGACTATAACCCATCATGTTAGTATCGATTCGGCGCGTAGACGGATGTCGTATGTTCTTACCTCATCTTCCGCAAATTCAGCGTAGTGCATGTCCTGCCACATTACTCAGAAACTCATTCTGACCTAGAGCGAGCTTCGGGTAGATGCCTACCTTATACCAATGCTTCTTAACACTTCCCTCGGTCCGAGTGGGGAAAGTCTGCGAAGCCCGAGAGCAACCAGGTTAGCACGCTTCAACGTGGTACAGAACCGATTGGTGCACCTTGGCAATTTCACTCCAGCTGCGGCCAGCATCGCGCATAGTCTTCAACCGCTGTTCCTCCTCGGCAGTCCAAGGAGTATTGGTTCTTCCTTTTTTCTTCGGTGCAGGCTCTGGTATCCCGGACCCCTGTTCATGCCCGGGCTCGCCTCCAGCTCCGGTCGCGCCTGAAGCTGGCATGGCCGCGGTGGTGCCTGCTTGGGGCGAAGCACGGCGTTTGCGCGGGTTCGGCGGAGGAATCTGAGTTTGGGGCATAGGAATGCCCTCGTATGAAGGCACTCGTGAGTAGGGATTGACTTGTTGCGGAGCTAACAGATGGGATGGTGCGTTGGCGGGGACGGAGGTCTTAATTCGTTTCGATGTTGGAGGAGACCTATTGTCATTAGAAGAGCCCGAGGGCGTCAGTGTCAGAGACGTGACTAATACATGAAAGGGGAAAAAAAGAAAAATTAACAAGTACGCGGAAGTCGCAAGAAGCGAGGATACAGGGCTGAAGTAGATAAGAAGCCGAATGAGGATGATGGAAGTAATGGTAAGGATAATCTGAGCAATAATAACAAAAAAAAACAAGAAATAATAACGACCCCAATAATAATAAAACAAATGACGGAAAGAGCCAGTCGATTTGTGAATCAGCAGATAAGGACAGGCAAAAGCCCCAGGTGAATAGGAAAAACAAAAACATAAGGCAAGAATAAAAAGCACATGACCGGGGTTGGGGGATGGTTCATCAAAGGTATATATGGACAGAGAGCAACCCTGGAGCTTTTTTTCGCAGCCCTAAGACTAGCTTTGCTGGGGCTTGGGAGGACGAAGGGTAACTTACGACATGGTTGAGGATATGCAGTTCTCCCAATCACGCTCCGTTGATTCATCTGTAAGTACACACGCTTAGGAGATTAGCAAATCTGCTATTCAAGGAACGCTCCGTGTAGATCGTCCTGTCATGTCTAGGGAAGCGAGCGCCTGGTTACACCAAAGTGACGATGACACCAGTGCATCATACGGCATGGTAGTAGCGCCGTAGGAAGGGAGGCTGGACGTCAGGAGTGAAGGGGAGAGTCGACAAAAATGTTACATGCATGTGTGGAAGTGGTCGGCAGCGAGGGACCTGGAGATGGCGCACGAATCTGAGTAAGAAGGAGAGCAACACGAGGAGAGAATAGAAGAAAGAAGGGGGAAGTGAAAACTAGATAGAGGGAGGGAGGGAAAGAGGGGAGAAAGGGCAAGTCAAGGGCAAAAAGAAAACAAATATAAACAGGTTTAGGCACAATCACAAGTAGACCTCTCGAGCATCTTAGGATACATAGGCTGGAAATAGTACGGAGGAATACTGGAGTTGCGATGATAAGACGTTCTGGTCAGGACAAGTGGAGATGGAGACCAACACAGAGTGCAAAGAAAGGCTTACTGGTCGAAGTTCATGATTCGAAAACTTTCGGGGTTTTTCTGACAGGTAGACACGAAGTAGCAGTCTCGTTGCTTGGAGGTCGACTAAGTGACGGATTGAGGCCGATCAGGAGAGTAGTAGTAGTAGGCAGGCAGGTAAGTAAGAAGTAGTGAGGAGGATAATGAGAGTAGTATAGTAGTAGATGTTGGTCGACAATCAATCGGAATACTAGGCCGGTGGGCAGTCGCTAGGGAAGGGTAGTCAGTAGTCAGTAGTCAGTAGTCAGGATGATCGTCGTCGTTCTGATCGTTGGCGTAGGAGAAATGATCAGCAAGTAAATAAGCAGGCAAGATCGAGTCGATTCGAGGCCAAAGATACATACATGCCTTTACATTTAGCGGTTTGCAGGAGGGAGGAGTGCCGGTACGCGGATTGGAAGGTAAGGTATACTAAGGAAACATTCGGGTGAGGAGATGGAGGGAGGGAGGGAGAAGAGAGGGAGGATTTGTTTTCCTCGCCGTGAGCTAAAAGAAGAAAAATAGAAACGAGACGAACCTGCAGAGAGAAAAGGAATGGTAAGAAAAGAAGTGCAGGAGAAAGACCAGCAACTGCGAAAGTGCAAGGCGAAAGAAGACGAATCAACGGCAAGTGACTGACTGACTGACTGACTGACAAGACAAGACAAGACTGACTACTGCTGAGGGGAGATCCGATTCCACTCCATGGCCAAGCAGCTTCCATTTCACCAATCCCGCGAGCTCCGACTCGTGTTTGCTTTTTCTTCTCCTAAGCAAGCGTGGATAAAGTCAATGATTACCTCCCCTACTCACTCACTCACTCACTCACTCACGTTCTACCTGGCAATTGATAGTTCACCAAGAAGACGGATAGGAGATGGTTATTGCACACCGTTGCATGGTCTCATTATGCCAAAAGAAGTAATTCCCCTCCTATCCCGCTTTAAGCCAGTCTTAGATCGAGTGGTTTCGCTTTGACAAAAACAGTGTAGCGTACAGATCCCGAGCCCCATTGCCAGCAGCAATTTCCCCTCTTTGATCGGTCGAAATTCCGAATGAATTTTCTAAAAAGAACGGCAGAGACTCTACGCCCCGTTATGACCTCTGGAGGGGGAGGGGAGGGGGAGGGGAGGGAAAAGGATGACAGAGGAGGAGGGGTGGTGCGTCTGGCCTTTGACGCCTACCTACTCATCCTTGTACTCATACACAAGGCACCTACCTATACTACTTCGAGTTCCTCTCCGTTTGTTCCGTTCTCTCTCACCAACCGACTACGTTGTATCCCGCGCATGTCATTCCACAGTATCTATTTTCTTCAGACGACCACTTTGGGTTGTTGCGGCCATACCATTATCGAAGCTCAATTCCAGCGCATCCATCAGCCACAAATCGCACCTTCGAATCCTGTCTTCCAACAAACAAGACAGGGAGCGATGATGCTGGTGGCGGCGACATACGTTCCATACGTTCCATATAGCCCGCCATCTCGGTTGTTCTCGCCAGGTTAACCTGGCGTCGCTGCAGTGTCCAGGTAGGTCAAGCGGGTGGACAAGGCCAGTGAGGGAGCGGGGTCTGGACTACCTGGTATCTGGTGACCGTGAGCAAGACTACAACTTGAAACGAACATTTTTTGGTATGCAATCATTGACCTTGGCACACCAGAGAAAAAAGAATCCAAAAAAGCAAATCTCGAAGGCTCAAGGATGATGAATTCTAGTGTCGACGTGGGCTCCAGCCTCTCCCTCCTCCTTCCCAATCAGATGCTCCTGACGGGATACGCTGGGAGCGGGGTAAGAATCCCTGAACTCCCACTAGGGCTCCCGTGTTTCCAATGATCCGTCCTCCGTCTCGGTTGCTTCCATCCAATCTTGGTCCTGGCGGTCTTTTCGCTGTCCCGCGTATTCTAGACATGGTCTGGACATTTCTAAATGCAAGGTTCGCCGCTGCTGCGATCTGGAACTTTCACCTTGCTAAAGAAGTAGGCCGGTGCCCGCCCGAGTCCGCAATGCTGCATCTCCAGGTTTTCAAGGTATGCATCTTATCTACGCCCGCCCAGTTGGCTCCCTCCTAGGCGGGTTTAAAAGATCTACGGTAGGTCCGGACGTGAACCGTTATTTGACCCCCTGCGAGTTCTTATTGAGTATCGTCCTACCGAGGGTGTTGGCAGTCAGGCAACTTGGCTTGGGCTTATTGCTATCACGTCCATGGCGGAACTTATAAGATGAGGCGCTGTGCAGAAAATGTTTCTGGACGGCTGAATACGACCATGAGCGAGGGGTTTCTACAACTTAACAATGCTTTGGGTTCGCTGGAGAACTCATGCATCTGGAGGAGTAATATCAACGATTTACGGCGATTTAGTCGAAAGTTATCGCTCATATACAACTTTCCCATCGCAGCTGATAGCATGTGCAGAACATATCGGATACAGTGACATGGATCGGAGCAGAATAGAATTGATCATTTCTGTCACATGTATAAATCAACCTATTCGCTTGGAGGACCGCATGTCAAATGCATGAAACTGATATTCTGACCAAGCGCTCACTGTATTTATCCCTTTCCCAGACATCGAGATCACTACGTACGCCGAACTCAGTCCTCTAGGAGGAAGCTCGTCTGTTACTCATAAGTTCAGGTCCAAAAGCTATTTCTATTGGGAGCACTAAGCCTCCCATGCGTCTGTGGTTTAACTCACGCTCACATGTGCTGGTGGTTGAGCATTGGCTACACAATACAAGAACATGTCTTGTATTTAGTTCGGTCTAGCTCCCCATTAATACCCCCATGAGCTTCCAGCGTGCATTAAATCATGAGATCACGTGTTTAAAATCGAAGCAACCATTGTACAATTCATATAGAACGGACTCGCATATGAGTCTGTGGAAGTCGCAATACCAGAATGTCATCTGTTCCTCCAAGTAGGGAAGACTCCTTGGACTCACGACAAAAAATTACATTTCCCGCCGACAGAAATATACTGCCTGAATGGTTGAGGCTCATCCCATTCAATATTCGAAACCAATGAGCTTCATAACAGATCCATGCGTCTTTGGGTTGGCCATCAATGAACCTCGCGGTTGTTCATTGATTCAAAGCTTGTAAGCATATCTTGAAACAATCGCCTAAGATACCCAAGCAGGCTGAAAAGGAGCTAGTGGTATGTCTCGCATGCCTTGGGAGCTGGTCTCAGAAGAAGCGGTGACAGGCTTGATGATACGTCAATCCCATTGACACAAACAATAATGGCAGCAGGAGCCGACTAAGAGATGATAGTAGGGTATTTAAGAACAGCAGCACGAGGAATACATATAGAAATCTTTTGTCTCCGTTTACCCAGCACATACGCCTCAGAACCGCCTTCCAGCATGGATAAGAACATAATCCGATAATTGTGAAGCTATACTGGAGCGATAGGTAAATGCTGACGTCATACGCCTGACAGGTAGCTGCTCGATCACGTGCTGGACACGCGGCCACGGGAACATCCCCAGCTTCTTGCGGCGCCTTGAGGTGGATCCCGCTGTGACGGTGAACGGAGCTTCCCCCTTCGTTGAGACCAGATAAGACGGAACCATCGCTGAGCTTCACAACGACCACTTTTACCATCTCTATTGTTTCTAGCTATATATAGCCCCGTTTCCAAGGGTCCTGTTGCATCTGTCCTCTTATTATACCCAGGTTGCCTGGTGCACCTCTCTCATATCTATCCACAACATAATCCGGGACGACAACCCATATACCCCCGACCGGGCCTTGCTGATAAACGAAGCACGGTCCACAGTTAGTCACACTGTCTTTCGGTGACCTGCTCGATAGCCTCAGCGGTGACAGTTGAGGCTTGTGAGGTATCTCGGACTGTGAAGCTGGACGCCTAACCCTACTGGCCAGCTTTTATATACAAAAGCAATCATGGTGAACATCAACATGAACCTGTTCCGTGCCTTGGGCGACTTCTCCCACCTCGGGTCGAAATGCGTCCTGATATGGGCCATACATCGGAACAAGAGCGCTGAAGGTAAGTACGGCGTGACATGAGGCTAGACCATCCATGATGCTAACAAACTGTACTACAATGCAGGTGTTTCGCTCCTTACACAGATGCTCTATGCCTTGGTCTTCGTCACTCGATACCTTGACCTCTTTCGAAAAGAGGCCTGGGGATCTTTCTATCTTGTTTTCTTCAAGATTTTCTATACTATAACGTCGTTCTATGTCATCTTCTTGATGATGAAAGTCTTCCCTCGCACACGGGAGAAGGAGAGAGCATGGAAAATGGGCTTGATCTCTGTTGGTCTGTCGCTTGTCCTGGCTCCTATCTCCCTTGCCATATTCAAGGAGTACAAATCTGGTCGGTGGTTCACTGAGGTAAGCTGAATCGTGGATGTTCTATCTGTGAGTGTCACAGTACTGACAGAATGTGTCTTGCAATGAGTAGACATGCTGGGCTTTCTCTATAATCCTTGAATCTGTCTGTGTCCTCCCCCAATTGCTCCTCTTGCGCCAGACCACCGTCCCGACTGTCATCGACTCGTACTACCTGCTTATGCTGGGATCATACCGAGCATTCTACATTCTGAACTGGCTTGTGCGCGGACTGGGCGCCGAGGGCTTCTGGGAGCCGATTGCCGACATTTTCGGACTTGTTCAGACCGCTTTTTACATCGACTTTGCTTGGGTCTACTACTCTCGCCAGCGTGTGAAGCTTCGTAACGGAGGGGTGGTTGACTCGGACGACTTCCGCCACAGCTGGCTTGTTAGCAAGGTGCTCAATTTCAGACAGCGCAGGGTGGCGGATGAGGAGCAGATTTTGAATGATGATGACTTTGAAGAAGAGAGGGTCAATGGGGAGAGGCCAAAGAACAACCGATGGGGCGCAAGAGGGATTTCGGTCTCCGCCGATGACACATTGGAGGATCAACGGCCTCGAACTCATGGCTCGAGCCATGATAACAGCCTAGAAGGGTTCTCGGATGATGAGGAAGATGACGTCCCGGTTTATCAAGCGAATAAGACCTCTTCTGGGGCCACTGGGAGCGGAGTTTGAATTGATTGGTTTTTTCTGGGCCATATATAGATTTCTCTGGTGCAGATCTACGTCTCTGCTTACTCTCTCTTGGGTGCAATTTGGTCTCTCGACCCTGCCTGCATGTCATCCTATCTCCAAAGCGAACTGTTCATCATCTTTAGTGTCCCTTTCACGTCAACTAATTTCCGCGATTCCAAATCCTTCTAGAAAGCGCAGTAGTGTCGAGCGACGACCGATCATCTATACCTTGTTGGGACTAGAACATTCTCAGGATCAGCATTCGAATGTTCACAGTATGGCAGTATGCTATTGCAGGATTGGGATGAAGTCATCCGAGACGGGCTTCGACGTGGGGATGAAACAGGTTTTAACAGACGGACCCAATGTTTCAGACTTGATCTCCAAAGCACATTGCTGCGCCTGGCCATAGCCACGGCTAGGTGTTTGAGGATCTGTGCATCGATGCAGCAAATGGGCGAAAAGTGTTACAAAGTTGCGAGAGGGGTATTACGTGTATGGACATCGCAAGCAGAGACTATGGGGAGGGGGCCGATTTGTTTTCTCTCCCTTCGGGTTTGAAGGGCAAAAAACGCCTAGGGAACAACCTTGCATTACTCGGCATAGCCGGGGTGTGGCCTGTCATCATCATGAGGGGGGGGGGGGGGGGGTTAAACCTTCTCCGTCAGATCCCCATGGAGCAAAAATAGAATCCTTTAGTGTTTAGCGGACATGGCCGTTCATCCTTTGAAGCGCGGAAATGATGAAGTGGGATACTACTTAAACGACACTATGCTTGAAAAGGGAAAGCGATGGGGAGTTCGTGACATCACGTGTGCATCACGGGGTTTCCGATCGGTTGACAGGCAGAGCGACGATCTTCCCTTGACCACATGGCGACTTGTGCGATCCATGCGATGGTCGCAATCATGATACACCGGACACAACCCCCTCCATAGGGCCAAATGCAAGGGTGCCAGCTTGCCAGGAAAACACACACCCGGGAAATTGACGGGACGAGATTGCCGTGCGCCTTTCCAGAAGAATGTGATGGCTTCCCTAGCTTGCCAGATACATTACAGTAAACAGTTGCTCTTTTCAACTGACATCCCCAGTGCGGGATCCGCGCCGAACGAACGAACGAACGGCTTGATGTCGGCGATGGATGATGGACAGATACCCCGATAGCAATCTCGCGAGGAGGCTGTCCCCTTCGCTTCTGGCGCGTAATCGCCCGTTTTTCCCTAAGACACGTGGCTTGGATAGGATGCAGACAGCCGCTCGAATTGAGTATGCGAACGGTCACGTCTTGAGCCTTAATCTCTGGATGATACTCCCTCCCCCTCCAAAACAGCCGTGTCTCGACGAGGCCGGATGGATGCGTCTCAGGGAACAAGAAAAGAGATGAAAAGAGGCCATGCTTCAAAACAAACTTTCCATCCATTTATTTCAGGGCCGGCAGCGAGACCGACTTTGGTGGTCAGCCTTTTGCTTTTCTTTTTTCTCTTCTTTTTTGTTTTTTTTTTTTTTGTCTTTTCCACGTTTTCCTTAACGAGCTTTCCGTAAGGCGAAGTCGAAGATCGCAGAAGCATGCCTGAGTATGACAAGCCTGGCCAGCCTGGGTTTAGTTCCGACCCATTTTGATCCACCAGGATTTACAGCCGCAATCACGACGAAGCGCTTAATGGCCTAACCCTGCCCGTAGGATCCCTGCCCCAAAGGAGTTTTGACTCTGTTCCTTGATAGTATTTTTTTCCTGTGGTTTCGCTTGACCGTATTATCCCAGAGCTTTCCGAACAGGATTTAGCTGCGTCTACTAGGCAAGCACGAGGATCCTGGCTGATGACTTTCGGTCCTTGGGGCTACCTTTAGCAGCCTCTCAATTCGTCCCGTCTACTTCGCTCTCCACATTTCGTAGCCGCTACAGGACCTGCGATGCGTTCATCTGCCCGTCGGCCCTTTGACAATAATGGCTGCTTTCTCTCTAGTATTCTAGCATACTTTCTCAATGTCCATCTTGGGCTTAGAGAACAAATCATGATTTGAAATTGTCCATTCTGTCTGCTCTTTTGGGACAGTTCTGCATCGATGGCGGTGTCCCATCTACGTACTAATCAGCTCAAGCGCTAACCTATGGGCTACCATTTGATATGGCGATTAAGCGGCTTTGCAACAACGTCAATCCACGCTCGTTTCAGACTGACATAATTCTACGATCCCTAACCCGGAGATCCAGGACATCGGCACTAAGATCGCAGTAGCAGATGCTGCCTTGCTCTTGAGTAACGGTGGGTGGGCCTGGGGATGTAAGTCTGAGCCCCCCGAGGGTTTTTGGGGGCTGGATTGTCTCCGTTCTCATGTCGTGAGCAACCATGAGTGATTATCCTTTCCATTTTTCTCCCCTTTCAGAGCATGGCACTGTTCTATCAGAAATGATCAGGCGCTTAAAGGCAGGCCCATCGTCGACCTTACACCTCCCGCCAGGAACAATTTTGTGCGGCACAGCAATAGTGGGCGGTACTTACTATGGTCATCAAAGCTCGTTGAGTCCGTTGATATACCAAAAAAAAGCTTCAAGCTTCTGGCCCTGCCTCGCGAGGCATTTCGAACTTTCTTTCACATTTCTTTATCTTATTTTATTTTGTTATTTTACAAATACATGAACACGCGAAGACTATCATCGATACGCCCTTTCATACCTTCTCCGCTTTCAACCAGGCGACTACAGTTTCTTATACTATAATCTTTCCATCTTGAGAGGTGTGGATTAACCTCGGATCATCTTTTTCATTGCTATTGGCGGCCTGACAGCCTATTTATCTTGTTGGACCTTGCCACCGCTCCCCAGCTAGACTCATATCCTTCCTTCCCTGTTTCAATCACTGTTCGATACAATCATTCACCATTCCGTCCTTCAACAACGAAGAGCCTCCACTGGCTTCCATCATGTACCCACAAACCCCACTCGGCTACTCGGGGCCGATGACCTTCAGTCATGGTGGTGTCAACCCCGGGGAGGTGATTGAGGACCTCTATGCAGTGATGCAGCCGCAGTGGAGCGGATTGGAAGCTGTATGTTGCATAGTCAACCAATCTCCACAGACGAGCCACTTGAAGCTGACCAGCTCTGAGTCGATGCAGTCGCCTTATGGAGGAATCAACCATCCATATACTACAACTACAGCTTTCCCCACCGGCTCCATCCTCACCCCTATCAGCCTCCCCGACAGCTCTTTCAGGCCGAGTCCGGTACTCAGTCATCATTCGCAAGAGTTCCAATACAATATCAGCGATAATATTCCATCTCAAGGGCTAGGTATCACGGCTCCCTTTCCGAGCAACTTCCCTCGCACTGTGACTGCGGGCCTCGGACATACTATAGATCAGCTCGAATATGGTCTAGGCGAGGTGGATCACTCGCCCCGGACCCCGCCAGCAAAGAGGGCCAGGCGCGGGCCCAAGCAGGCCGCCACGCCTCGGGAGGCCCCCGTAACGATACTGCCCAACCCCGAAGGTCTCCAGCGACTGGAACAGGAGCGAAGACAAGGGGCAGCCGATGCCCAGCAGCAACAGCGGCCTCGAGCCCCCGGAAGGGGCCGCAGGGACCCGCAGGCGGAGGAGGAAGACGCATTCGTGGAGAGACTGCGGGAACAGAACCTCGCATGGAAGGTCATCCGCGAAATGTTCCGGGAGAAGTTCCATAAGGATGCATCCGAGGCGCGGCTGCAGATGCGCATGCTACGGCGGCGCAAGGAGCGCCTGGCCCGGTGGGGTGAGAACGATGTGAGTACGTGCTCCGTCCGCAGGCCTAAAATTGCCAACTAATCATTAACGGCGAAGTCATTCAGATCCGCCTACTCATCCGGGCTCGGGATTATTGGGAGCACGAGAAGTATAATGTGATTGCACAAAAGGTAAGGAGCATCGAATCCACCAGCTAGAAAGAGGCTTTTACGAGATGCTGACTATGTCTCTCTGATCTCAGATGAGGGAGCTTGGTTCCGGGCAGTACACTCCACAGCAGTGCGAAGCGCAGCTGCGTTATCTTGATGCGCAGAACCGGGATCGGAGTGTCCTGGCTGCGCGACCACGAATATCTGAGCCTTTGCAGACACGACGACGAGTCTGGCCTCGTTCATCGTCTCAGAGCCTGGCCGGTGAGACCAGAAAATGATTGTTTTTGTTATGAATGCATCGGTGGGTTCCAGAAGCATGTTGAGGCGCATTATGGCTTGGTTGGAGCTTTTTTGTTTTTGTTTTGTTTTTTTTTTTTTTTGCCTTTCTTAATTCCTCTGGGCTAATGATACGCCGGGCTGGACTACGTTCGACGATTTGCATGGTAGTTAGCGTTTTCTTGTATTTGTCACGCCCCAATTTTGTTGGTTTTCTCTTTGTTCATCTTCATATAACTATACCCTGTGACCGAACGAGTACGAAATGAGATATATGAAACGATAATATATCAAAACTTACAACATGAAGTATGTACAGTCAACTTGCAATCTATTTTAACCCGCCAAGGATATCCATTCCGAAGATCGTGTAACTCATCCCTCAACAAGACGATCAGCATGCGAACGAACCAATGGGCGTGTTTCTCTCGACTATCCCCTTCTTATCCGTCATAAAATGAAGAAACAAAGAAACGATATAGTAAGCCAAGCGTGACACAAACAAGAACAATTTAAAATAGACTTTGGCGCAGTCATTTTCTTTTTCGCAACGGTTGCCGATCTAGCCTCGGGAGTCCGTCCACGAGTTGATACATAACTTACAGCCCGCAGTGCCGCAGCAAGCAGCAGCAAACAGCAGCAGCAGCAGCAGCAGCGCCTCCTCGCCAATAGTTAACCGCCGCCAGCCCCAAGCCACCGCCAGCAACCTTGAACCCACCACTACTAGCTTGACTCGACCACGAGGGACGCCGTCCACCGTACACCGTACTGTACATATTTCGTCTCTTGCTTATGCTTAGCCTAGTTTAACTCGTTTGCATCGCTTTCTCCATCTGACATCTTTGGTTCCGACCCTGTCCTGCCCTGTCCTGCCCTGCCCTGCAGTACGACCGCTGCACCGCACCGGCATTTTGCTTTTGGGTTTAATTATAACCCTCGCGATCGGTGCACAGCACCAGCCTTACGCATGCCGTTACTGCTATAACTACTCGGTGATATTCTCAACATCTATCTATGTTTAGTATCGTATCCAAAGCAAGCTGGATCGAGAGAGGCACAGCATCTTTTTCCCGCGCATCCAAATGTCATCCATCCCGACTCAGACTCACCAGAAAGACTAGGCTACGAGCAATATACTGACTATCACAACCCTCTTCCCAACTCAACCCAAATTGAACTCCATCCTTAAAACCTAAAATCAACCCGTAGATCAAAAACGCCACCTTTTTTTTGATAGGTATTCTCAGCCGCACACAACCCCCAGACTGGGGAAGAAAAAAGCAAACAAGGGCTACGTACGTATCGCGTTCAGTGATGGATGTGGATGTGGATGTGTATCAAACTCTACTCCAAATTCTTGAAGTGGGAGATAGCCGCTACGGGCTGTATACATGCCTATGGCTGTACTGTACTACTCAAAATGTATGGGCAAGGATCGACACCTGGTCCGGGGGACATGACTCGTTATACTTTTGGCTGTTGACTACGGTAAGTTACATACCTACCGTATCAGTGCTGTGCGGGTTGTTTGTGTTTCTTTTGTTGGCGGTGGGAGAGATGCGTACAACACATAGTTAGAGTGTCTAGGGACTCAACTTAAGTTGGCCGCTAGTCTATGCTTGTTCCAGGTTGTCATCGGCGATCGAACCGGGGTTTTCTTGGGTCCAGAGACGGGGTGCCTACCGGTAGTCCCCGGGATGGTGCTGGGTTGACTCTGCCCTTTCCGATATGGGCTGAGTGAGAGCGGGCGCAGATTCAGGATAGTGAGTCAGATGGTTACTCCAGCTGGACCTGGATGGATAAGACGGGCGTTTCGCGCGTTGATCTGTCCGTTGTCTGTGACTGCAAGTTGCTAGCCTCCGACGGTGCTCCCTGCCCTGAACGACATCGGCTGGCTACGGTATGTTGTGTGAGGTGCTACTAAGGTACTTGGTGTATTGCCGATGGACGATATAGATCTCGGGTCGCCAGGGCTGATATCTTTTTTTTCGTTGTTTGTATCGTGTGTCTGGGAGATATGGAAGGTGAGGGCGATTGCGCTTTTGACGGGTCCGATTTGATCTGTTCATGGAGTTTGGATATGTAGGCTATGCTATTGTTGCTTAGCAAAGAGTCCTGAGGCTGTTAACTTGTGTTTTTCGGTCTTTCGGAGGGAAGGGGGATGTATGCTACAGATGTGGACCTCCCGGGGTGTCACTACAAGTACGGATCGGCAGCATGGATCTGGAGCAAAACCAGGGGCATCTAAGAATGTCTATCATTGGCTATCGTCCTCATCCTCGTCCTCGCCGGCATCGTCGACGATCGGGAACGTCAACAAGGCCGCAACGCCGCCCAGCCCGTCCAACCGCCGGCCGCTCTCATGATCCGAGCTCAACACGCGCACCTCGCCACCCTCGACGTCCCGCACGCGGTCTACCAGCGAGACCCAGCGTTTGCGCTCCGCCACGTCCTGCGACCGGAACAGCCGGTTGGAGATGATCAGCACGCCGCCGCCGCGGCCCACCGCCCCCTGGTCGACGGCCGACTCGACCTCGCGCGGGCCGTATGTCGCCTTGTTGGTCTCCTTGCGCAGCTGGTCCAGGAAGTCGTCCATGAGCTTCGTCTCGCGCGCATACTTGGTGTCCGCCAGGATCGTCTTCACCGCGGGTGACTGCAGCACCTCCGCCAGGGAGTGGAGGTAGCCCGAGGCCGAGTGCACCACCACGATGCTCGGCAGGAGACGTTTGAGCGCCGGCATGCTGGTGCTGGCGACCCCTTGGATGTATTTCTGGAACCCGGCCGCGACGAAGCCCGGCGACGCGAGGAGGACGGGTCGCACGGTCTCGTTGCTGGTCGAGAGCGCCGTGGCGCTGGTGTTGAATTCCATCTGCCGCACGAGGGTATCGAGCGTGACTTGGAAGAATTTGTTCAAGCCCTGTAATTCCCATTGCCAGGAAGGTGGGACCGTTAGCAAGGATAGACATTTATGGGCGGGGTATAACAGGGGCAAAGGGGGAAATCGGTTTTTTGGGGGGACACAAAGGAGCAAGGGGAGGGGAAAACATTACCTTGTCATGATCCCCGCCGCCGTGCCGTTTGCGAGGCACAGACATCTCGACCTTCTGTTTGAGAATCGTCTGAAACTGCCCGATGAAGCAGATGTGAGCCAATCCCTCCTGCATCACCACGGCCACGGCCTCGGCCCGCCGATTCCCACCCTCGTCCACCGCATCCTTGAGCATTTGCACGGCGATACTGTCCCATCCCACCCCCTCCCCATCGGAGCCAATCTCCTTCTCGAGTGTGAAATTGCGGTTCAGTTCGAGGTCGAGCGTGTGGTGCTGTCCGACCTTGGTATGTGCTGTCTCGTTCACAATCTGCCCGCTGACGTGCAGCTGCGAGCTCTGCGGGTCGAAGTCGAGGCTTTTCACCCGAATCTCGAGGTTCAGGTGCACTCGCGCCGAGCTTGTCGAGCCGGTCTCTTGGGTGGTGGTCACACGGCGGATGGCGCTGGCGCGGAGGAGATCGCCCGGTCGGATAAGATTGTATGCGTGCCACTGTGGTCGAGGATCGGGGGGTAAGCATGGGGACTCGACGTTGGTGGTCTCGCGTTGCGTACCATATCCTCTGGTTCTTCCGGGCACAGCGTCACCGTCCCGGAGCCATTGAGCTCGATTTTATTCTTGACAAGACGCATTATCGTCTATTCTCGGATTTGACAGTATATATGTGTATAGAAGAGAAAGTATATGGGTATCAGATTCGCGCGAAAGCAAAGAGCTCACTCGTTTGTGGGTATCACGCTCTGCAAACTCGGCGCTGCTGCTGTTCTCTCTATCGCGCTCTGGAGAAATGACGAAGGGCAGCCGGCCTAAGGCAGAAGTGCGGGACACTTCCCGGAAAGGAAAGGTGCTGCTTGTGGCCGATGCTTATCGATAAGAGATAACGAAGCGAGCTCTTCGTGGATCATGGCTTGGTTGTTAGCATGTCTCTGTGCCTCCATTCGAGGGTCTTCTTCTGGTATGCTATATCTCGTCATAACTTCTTGTGCTCATATGAAAATATAGCCCTTATTCGACAATAGGCTCTCCTATGTGTCAACATGGTTTTTGGGCTCATTACCGGCAAGATATATTCTGGCACCTATTCGTCTACACCTCAACATTGGAAGATCATCAGCAAGTAGGCAAGGGTCATTTCGAGCAGGCAAGACATTTTTGTAGTCCACTGCATTCTTGATGTCTCTAATATAAGGCTCTACATGAGTACGGTATCCCATCGGAGACCTATAGGTAGGGAAGATCGAAACCCGCCTTAACAACCAATCTTATCAATAACCACCGGTGTTTCGAGAGAAAATACTCTGTGCATCACTTCCACTTCCATGTACACATCCATGATCTAATTTCCATCGCATTCTCTCTCTCCCTTCCTACTAGACCGTCAAGCGCCGAGCCTCATTGGAAGAGAGATTTCCAGAGTGCCGAATTCCGCGGGTTTCTCTTCCAGGAGTACCCACAGCCGACTGCGAATGGATAGGAGATGCCGGCTCGACCCTGCTACTTCACACTTCGTTCGTCTGAATCATTTGAGCATTCGCAGTGTCAGTCCTAACACCGCACTGTTCCTTATATCGATTGCCCAATTGGTCGTGTCGCTATCATTTGAATGTCACGCAGACACACACATGAGACCTCAATCGTACTCGGCAAACATGAATGAGAATACAAAACTCTCAGTTCAGAAATTCTAGAGACTGAGGTCATGCTATAAATGGATCATGGAAGCATGTCCGGCATCAAATAAACACAAGTTTGCTTCGAACAGTCGCTCGCATCCTCGATGCAAGCCCGCGAAAGAGCAGGGCACCGGCGGTCGGATGTCCGAAACTCGGCTTGACCGGCTGTCTGCAAGCCCAGGGGCGGACGGAATCTTCAACTGATTGATAAAGTCAATGGACCCACAATTGATCTCTCGGCCCACGGCGATGGCGCATCCCTCGTGGGCATGCGGAGCGGGCACCTTGGAACTTGGAAATTAGTTTCTGAATGTTTTGTCCGCAACTTCGACGTTCCCTCTTGTTCTGTCTAGAATCGTCAACCTCAGTGCCCCCATTCACTCGTGTCCTGCTCGATCAGAGTGATAGTGTACACTCGCAATCCCATATATCATGGCTCCACTTTCCCTCGCGTCGACCAGGAAGATGGTTTCGGGATACGAGATCCCGGTCATAGGATTCGGGGTGAGTGATGGTCAATCCACGAAATCTCTATTTCAAGCAGCGATTAACAGGAACCTCGGCGTCTCAGTCGTACCAGACGTATGTCTTAGGATCGAGCAATTGGCTTTCAACTGGTGCATACCGTGGTTCTGGCTGACAATTGCTTCTCCGCGTCGTAGCCCTCCCGACGTCACTGAGAAAGTGATCCTCAAGGCCCTAGAGGCTGGCTACCGTCATGTATGGCCCTCTGTCCATTCTCCCGCTTACCATTGCAGCACTATGGATTTAACACCACAACTACCCACGTCTGCTACAGGTCGACTGTGCGCAACTATACCAAAACGAAGCCGAGTGCGCGGCAGCCATCCACAAATCGGGGATCGGGCGGTCCGAAATCTTCTACACAAGCAAGATTCCCGACACCCATATGTCTTACGAAAAGGCCAAGGAAGCCATCGAGGCCAGTCTGTCTGCAGCAGCATGCCTAGGCTACATCGACCTGTACGTTCTATCTTTCGTTTCCCACCCTAGAGGGCTCACCACCAGGAGATTAACGCTGCCACACACACAGGATGCTGCTGCACGCGCCCTACGGCGGGAAAGAAGGTCGACTCGGCGCGTGGCGCGCCCTCGTGGAAGCGCAGAAGACCGGCAAGATCCGCTCCATCGGCGTCTCCAACTACGGGATCCGCCACCTGGAGGAGCTGGAGCACTACATCCAGACCAGCGGCATCGGGGGCCAGATCTCCGTCGGCCAGTACGAGATCCACCCCTGGTGTGCCCGGGAGGACATCGTGGCGTGGCTGAAGAAGCGAGACATCGTCGTCGAAGCTTATTCGCCGCTGGTGCAGGCGAAGCGGATGAACGAGCCGATGCTGCAGAGCTTGGCGAGGAAGTACAAGAAGACTCCAGCGCAGATTTTGGTCCGTTGGAGTTTGCAGAAGGTCTGTTTGGAGCAAAGCTTTTTTTTGTTTCTTTTTTGGGCTTCACAGCGAGATTTCTGGATGGCTAATGCATGATGTTGTAGGAATATGTCCCGTTGCCCAAGTCTGTGACCGAGTTCCGGATCAGAGAGAATGCGCAGGTCTTCGATTTTGAGTTGACTCAGGAGGATATGCGTCGTCTGCAGACGGATGAACATGCGCCTGTGTGCTGGGACCCTGCTCGGGATTCGAAGCTGTAGATGAGGTAAGCAGCATATGCTGTTTTGGTGGGGATTATGCTTGAGCACATAGATCTGCAGATAGTGTTACATATTCAACCGCTTAAAACCATCAAAATGAACCATCAACCTGGCCACGTTCACTGTTGTTGTTGGCAGCACCCACCGTGAAGTTACCCGGACCAAACAATTCTCCCGCTTCGGTATAACGTATCCCCGCAACGGCTTGCTTGCCTTCCGCCTGGCCTTTCCCCCCATGGTTTCCTTCCAAACAATTAATTACCCGGAGGTGGCATCACTCACTCATCTTGTTTACCTTTTTTTTTTTTCCCCTGATGTGATTCTCAACACATTCACTTACTCGAACTTCCTCTTATTTACCCAGACAAAACCACCCCCATATCTCCAAGCTCTCCCAAAATCTCAAATGTCTATCCCCACCGATCCCTCCCCAAGAACCAGGAGTATCGTTCCCACGACCAACGATTCCACTCATACCTCCGTCTAATCTCCGCTGCCGCCGCCCTTCGTTTCCCTCCTCCCTCACCACAACCACAACCACAACCACAACCACAACCACCACCTATCCCTCCAGTCAACAGACAGACACCCCCAAAGACCCAAGTGAAAGGCCACCCAACATGCCCCCGACCTCCGCCTCCCCGGCCAAAAAACGCATCATCCTCGAGAAATCCCGCACGGTGCGCCGGCGGTACCAGCGCAGCAACCAACGGTTCCAGTTCACGGCGTCGCAGATCGCGCGCATCGAGCGCGAGCAGGAGCGCGAGCGCCGGGCGCAGCAGCTGCGCGACCGCGACCGCAAGCGCGTCGCCAACAAGAAGAAGAAGGCCGAGAAGGCGGCGCGCGACCGCGAGGAGCGCCGGCGGCTCGGCTCCATGGGCCTGCCGGATCCGAATGCCCCCGTCGTGCCGTCGAGTCAGCCTTCGCTGTTGAGGTTTATTCGGAAGCCTGCGCCGCCGACTTTGGGTGGTGAGGGGATGGGTGTGGATGAAGATGGGGGTGTGGGTGGTGATGATGTTGAGAGTGGTGATGATGATGATGATGATGATGATGATGGGGATATTTTGGGGGAGGGTGCGGAGTTTGAGGACGTTGATCTTGAGGGGTGGGAGAGTGGGTCTGTTAGGGATGCGGAGGAGGGTGTGGTTCATGGTATATTGGGGGAGGACGAGGTGGAGGGTGGTGTGCAGGTTGAGACGGGTGAGGATGCTGCGCGCGCTGTTGGTGGTGCTGCGGCGGATCACACTACCGATACGGATGATGAGTTTGGCTGGGAGGAGGACCTTGCAGAGGTTGACGAGTTCTCTGATTGCTCCATCTTCGATGATGAGGACATCATCAAAAAGAGTGAGGCCGTGGCGGCTGAGGTGTTGGCCACGAAGGATGTTGGAGATACCCTGGGTGCGGGCGCCGATGCGATTGACACGATTGCGCCGAAGACGAATGCGATAGACACCAATACAATCAACGCCGTTGCGATAAACACGAATGCGATAGACACTAAAAGCGCGGACACTGTGGACACACCCCACGCCGAGCCTCCGACAGTGCAAGGCGCTATACCTGCCTCGTCGGCAGGCGATTCATTTCAGGACGACACAGCCATTTTGTTGGAGCAATTGGGCCACGAGTTCGACACCGATGAGGAGTTCGAACAGGCATTGGTTGCATTGGATGCTGTGTGAGAACTGACAATGTATAACTGACAGACTAAAATTGGACACTGTGCATTAACCTAATGCATTGTCGTCTTCCGAACCGACGGGCGATCCGCGCACGTCGGATGGCGGCCCTGGGCGGGAGCCCCTCGTCGGGTCGGGCGGTGATAAGCTGAGCGGCTTGCGTTCCCCGCCCGCCATCCTCATCTCCAAATCATCCGACGGATTCTTTTTGCCTGGTACTGGTACTTGGTACTTGGTACTCGGAGCAGGTGGATGATCGGGGCGACACGATACGACACGACAAGACTGGATATACGGCTACAACGGAAGACAAAGGACTTCCGCAGGAAGTAGGAAATGGCACACTCGGGAGCGTTCCAAGTTGAACGGAAGGAGAAAAAAAAGGAGAGCGAGCAAAGTTCCCCGCCCACGCCATGACGTCGACCCCGCTCAAGCTTTGTTGAGCTTTCTGCTTGTCAAACTTCCGATCACGCGCGGTCCCTCTCTTTCCTTTTCTTTTGCTAGAAAACCAGTGCTCAACATCGAACAGCCGCAAGACACCAACAAGACACCATGCCTACCGTCACCGTCAACAACCACGAGATATACTACGCCGACTCCCACCCGGACGGCGCCCCCGCCAACGGCTCCACATTCATCTTCATCCACGGACTCGGGTCCTCGCAGAACTACTACTTCCCCATCCTACCGTACCTCGAAACGCAGCACCGGTGCATCACCCTGGACACCTATGGCTCCGCCCGCTCGACCTACACGGGCCAGCCGGTGTCCATCGAATCCATTGCCGCCGACGTGGTCGGCGTGCTGGACGCGCTGAAGGTGGCCCAGGCCGTGGTCGTCGGCCACTCAATGGGCGGACTGGTGGTGACGCTCCTGGGCGCGCAGTATGCGGATCGCGTGAAGGCCGTCGTCGCCATTGGACCAACCCACCCATCCGACAAATTGGCCTCGGTCATGACCCAGCGCAGCGAGACGGTCTCCAACTGTAAGCCCCTTTTCGGGTTCTCTACTAGAATGTGGAAATGTGCTGACTGTCAACTAAGCGGGCATGGAGCCCATGGCCAACACCATCCCCAGCGGCGCCACCGGCACCCGCTGCTCGCCGCTCGCCAAAGCCCTGATCCGCGAGTTGATCCTGGGACAGAACCCCAAGGGCTACGCGGCGCTCTGCCAGGCGATCGCCAAAGCGCCCGCCATCGACTACGCGGCCATCTCGGCCCCGTTCCTGCTGATCGCGGGCGAGGAGGACAAGTCAGCGTCGCTGGAGGGGTGTCAGCATATCTTCGATCGGGTGTCGAGCGGGAGCAAGAAGATGGAGGTTCTGGCGCAGATCGGACACTGGCATTGCGTCGAGGCGCCGGAGGAGGTGGGCGGGCTGATTCGGGAGTTTGCTGCTGCTTTGTAGTTTTTGTTGGTAGACTTGTTCATTATAATGGGTGACGGTCCTACAATGAAAGCACTTGAGAGATGAGGTTTGGGTCGAAGGAGTAGACTGAGGAATGTCTTTTACTCCCCGAGCTCAGGATCGTCTGAAACAGTCACATGATGTGATGAAGTATAGAAATGAATAACATAAGTTCGGTATCACATCAATCAATATATACAGAAAACCCCCTACTGTCACGCATAGTACACCTACACCCCACGATATCCACATATTTTTTTTTTTCTTTCCGAAGCATCGAAACCGTCTAGCTCGACGCCGACGCCGGCGCCAACTTGACATCATACTGCAACTCAAGACCAGCTTGAGGGTCGCCCTTGCGCTCGACAAAGTCCACGATGAGGGAGTCCTTGACGGCGAAGACCGAGTCATTGGTGAGGTAGGGGTCCTTGCGATCGAAGATCTGCGTGGTGAGGGGTTTGTAGCCCTCGTAGGTGGCCTGCCACACGAAGCGATTAGCTTTGGTTTTCGGGGAGCAACAGTTCCATTTTCCCAGAAGTGGAGTAGGGAAGGGTCAACAATCCATCTCCCAGAAGTAGAGTAGGGAAGGGTTCGAACATACAATGATATGAATATGCGCCGGCCGGAACGGATGACGATCCATCAATTCCAACAATTTCCCCGCGGGACCTACATCCCCCCACCCAGATTCGTTAGCACATCCATAACCCCTCACACTTTTGCCCCCCCCCACCGACAAAGAAAGGTAAAACGAACCATCATCCGGAACGGGATACGGCGTCGGCCGCAAGCAGTAAAACGCATACCGGCCGTCGGCGTCGGTGCGGAACTTGCCCCGCAGGTTGAACTCCTCCTGCGCGGGGTCCTGCTGCTCGTACAGGCCGTTGGTGCTGGCCTGCCAGACCTCGACGGTGGCGTCGACGAGCGGCGCCTTGGTGGCGTGGTCGACCACGCGGCCGTGCATGTAGGCCATCTCGCCGCCGGGGGCGGGCGTGCGCACGATCGACTCCCCGTTGGCGCGGAGCGGGGTGTCCGCCCGGAAGAACGGGCCCAGGATCGCGGTGGCGGTGGGGGCGTCGTGCGCTTCCGCGGCGAGGGTGTAGGTTATTTCGTCGACGAGGCTGTTTCGTTTGTTCGGGGGTTTGTTAGTGAGGGGGTTGACACGGGGAAACGAGGGGAGGGGGGTAAGGGCAGTTTCTAGGTAAAGGTAAAGGCAGCGTACGACTCCAATCCAATCACGTCGGTCACTAATTGCCCTTCGTTCCGCTTGTCGTCGCTCATCTGTCCGGCCCAGTTCATGAACTTGACGGCCGCCATCCACTCGTCGACGGTGACCTCGTTCTCGCGGGCGAAGTCGTGGACGTGGCGGATCAGGCCGGTCATCAGTTGGCGGAAACGCGGGGTCGTTTTGGGACCCATCGCGTTGATGACATTGTCGGTGAAGTTGGGGTCGAAGCGGTGGGGGGCGGACATTTTTGATCTTCTTTGTCTGCTTCTGGGGTATAGGGTATAGGGTATAGGGTGGGATAGTAGTAACAGAAAGAGTAAGTGGTTGAGAGCCAGCTCCGATTATATACTTCTTGCCTGTCAATCAATGTGATGGTCAGCTTCAACCTTTCGGCGGCCCCGGATTTGTTGGCGAGGGAGGGTGATTGGCGCTTCGGAAGCGGAAGGAACCCCGCCTCAGGCTTGTTCCCCTAACTTCGGATTCTCCCTTCCGATACCTAGTAAGTTTCCCCGCAGTTGAACTTCCGATGTCTACTGTTCATACGGTAAGTAGTCAAGGTATCCAATTCAATTCCCTATACCAAAAAATCACCTTCCGTCGGATTTCTCCCCCCGCCCCTCTGCCTGCTGCTGCTGCTGCCCCTGCCCCTTCCCCTTTGCCTTAGGATTCCGGCGCCGACTCCACTCCGCCGGCCACTGCTGCACGACCGCCCCGCGCTCCCAGATCGTGCCCAGCCGCCGCTCGACCACGGCATCGACCACCTCCAACGGCACCATGCCCTCGATTCCCTCACTCAGGATGACCCCGTTCTCACTGCGCCAGAACGGACACCCCAGCTGCAGCGCCTTCACCAGATCGATATAGATCAACACCTGCGCATCCCGCCGCATCCCCGAGATCACCTGCCCGTGCCCGCCCCCGCCGACCGCCCCTTCTTCCTTCTGCTCGTGCTGCGACCTCGCCAACACAGCCTCCCGCTCCGGGCCCGTCGCAAAATGCACCTGGTTCCGGCCCATGCACCGCAGGCCCCCGGACTCCAGGATCAACGGCCACGCCCCGTGGAACGTCCCGTGGACGACCGTCGACGGGAGGTTGGAGGTGGTGGGAGTCAGCCGCTCCAAAAGGCCCGCGGCCTCGACGGTCTTGATGCTGTGGCCCTGCGTGGCGCGGATGAGGTAGTGGGTGGGGTCTTGGTCGGTCGTGGCGGCCGCGAGGGCGGTGGCTGTTGCGGTTTCGGTGTCGTTGGTTGTTGTTTGCGGGCTGGCTGTGTCGCCTGCTTTTTCGGCGGTGGATGTAGACTCCGCCGCAGTCGTGGGCGTAGACGCGGCCGTAGAAGTGGCTGTAGAAGTAGAAGCAGCAGGAGGGAGATACAACAGCCCGAACCGCTTCTTGTCCGAGCTGGCGACCGCGTCCACGATCTCCGGGAAGGTGACTTTCAGGGATTTGAGCTTGCGCCAGGCGAGCTGTCATTTTTCCAACCGGCAGTGGTTAGCTTTCGCATCATCCTTTGTTGTGTGTAAATCAGATCAAAGGAAACGATGCCCGCCCCCGATCGAAACAATCTAGAGAGGTGAAAAAAGGGCAAGCAAACATACCAAATCCCCCACGCTCGCATACCCCTGCGCATCCATCGTCAACCCTTCCTTTTCGGCCGCGTGCCGCAGGATGAACGACATCGCTTTGGAGACGGTGATCTGGCGGCCGGTTTTGGGGTCCTCGTGGCGCGGTTTGCCTCCTCCTCCGCCTCCTGCGCGGCCGCCTTTTTTGTCTTTGCGGTTGTCTTTCTTGGAGGCTTGGGTCGCTGTCGGAGCGTTGGGCGGGGTTTCGTGGGTTGACATGATGCCAAAATCTGTCCTGGGTTTTGGTCTTAGTCTTGGTCTTGGGGCTGGAACTGGAGCTGTTGCTGTTGCTGTAGCTGTGGTGTACGCCTGCTGAAAGGGTGGAAAGCGGCTGACTCGGGGCAACGCGTTGCGAGACTCTCGGTGAAGAGGAGGGCCGTGATTTGCGGATCGATATTTTCGAGTGAATGTAGTCGGGACAGGGCTTCCGAGAAGGAGGGAGCGGCTGCTCATGCGGGGTGGAAAAGGGGGTTGAGTCGCTGGTGAAGGTGTGCACTTGCTATCTCTGCTATCTCTTTGTGCGAGGAGTCACGGTCGTGGTGAGGGTTGAAACGCACGTGCAAGTCGCTTGCTCCACGAATCGTGCTATGCAGGTCTACCCGGTCGGATTTTGTGGATTGACCTGCTCCAAGCAAGATAGAGCCCAACCTTATGCCTTAATTTTGAAGAATGGGTTGAACTCAATTGCTGCTAGCAAGGGAAACTTTTTCTTCCCCCGGAGAATTTGACATCATCGGCGGGAGGTCCGCGGGTCCACTTTTTGCGCAGGGACGGTACCGTCCGGTCTACCTCTACAACCGCTTAATCTTTCGGCTCTGGTCTATCGCTATCACCATTGAACGATGCTAAAATGGGTATATCACAGATCACGCCCTCACCCCCTCGCAAATCATCCCTTCCAATCATCGATCACAGATACAGCTACACTCCGCCACCGGACAGACCTTGTGCTTCGCGAACCACTCGCGCGCATGGTGGGCGTGGAAGCCATGGTTGCAATTGATGCAGAACACAATGAACCGGCGCATCAGCTCCGACTCGCTCGGCCGTCGGTTCTCCGCGCCGCCCGCATCGGCCGCCACGTACGCCTTGGACATGGGATCCGGGGACCCCAGCCAGAGCGTGCAGACGCCGCAGCGCGGCATATGGCGACCGCACCGGGGGCAGACGGTGCCGGACATGGCGGCCGTCCCCAGCGGGTTGCCGGCCGTCGGGTGCACCACCTCGCCCGTGGCGGCCGGCGTGAGCTGCGACGAGGCGTCGTGCTGCGTGAGCGGCCGCGTGCAGTAGTTGCAGGTGAGGCTGATCTGCTGGCGCGGCGGGTCCATCAGCTTGCGCCCGTCCCAGGTCACCGCGAACTTGCGCGAGCCGACGTCGAACCGGGCCCGCTCCAGCTGCAGCTTCCAGCTGTTGATCTGCCACCGGTAGGTCTCGCGCCAGGCCTGGAACCGGGCGCGGTACGGCGGGTGGCTGATGAACCGCGGCACGGTGTGGCTCATCGCGAGCACGGCGGTCTGGATGTCGTGGAATTTGTTGATGTAGGACTGGAACAGGTCCATGGCCGAGTGGCCGAGACCCGTGAGCACGACGCCCTCGATGTCGCCCTGTCGAATGACTTCCTGCGTCGCTTCGTGCAGGTACGTGGTGAGGTCGTCGTCTGGAAGCCAGCGCAGGGCGACTTCGATGCGGTACCGCAGAGGCAGCGTGGTCTCCTGGATGACCGAGTTCCAGTCCCCGCGGCTGACCAGCGCCAGGATAGCCCGCGCGTACGGGTCCGTCAGCTCCTTGGCGATCTCAGCGCAGGTTTCCTCCCAGTCCGGGTCGGTGTCGCCTTTCGCAGCGCCGGCAATGGCCATGGCGAGAAGCTTGTGCGCTTGGGCTGGCTCATGGCTTCGTAACGCTAGGTAGGCCAGCTTGGGTTCGTCCTGGAAGATGGCTAACGCGGCGGCCTTGGTGTGCTGCTTGTCTGCCGAGAGGTTCTTAACGAGCTCTTCTAATTCACGGTATGATTGCGCGGCGCCGCAGATTCGTAGACACAGTCGTCGGTGTTCTGCATAGTCTGTCTCGCAGCCCTTGGTTTCTGGTAGATTCAGCTGCTCGCGAACCAGCTGGACAATCGTCTCGTTGATGTCGGGCGGTGAATCCGAGCTCACGCGTCGGGCTTCCAGGCTCTCCCCTACCCAGTGTTAGTACTGTCATTACCCACTCAAAGCTTTCTTACCCAAATCACCGTTCCACACGTCGTAGACGCCTAAGTAGTTCAGATCCAATCCGTTGATGATCATCGATTCATTGGAAGAGGCAGACCGCGCACCTGGTCAAATTAGCAGGGCGACAATACCACCGAGCAGCGTAGAACATACGTTCAATCCAGTCCCAGAATCCCTGGAGCCAAGGGTCATCTGCCAGTATTTTCCTGTTCCGGGCTTCATCAAAAAGATAGCCCTCCTTGCATCGGAGTCTGCTGACGGACAGTAGCGTCAAGGCATCTTCCACGGCAAGAGGATCGCCTGCTGTTCCGAGCGAGATAGCACGCTCCCGGGCCTTTCGACTTGAAAGAGGGCTCTCCGAGCCGTGCTCTGGCGCCCCGGTCTGCACCGATACCCGGTCCCGTACATCGCGCACAATCTCCGCTATGCCAGTCTCCGGGTTGGACGATGGGCTGATCACTTTAAAGTCGGAGTCGTCATCCGACGAACCCCATATCAGGGAACCTTGTGACGAGAGCCGTACAGGCGGCGAGGGAGGTTTGGACGTAAGAATACTGATCTGCCCGGTACCGTTCATTGTGATCGCGCTGGGCTCGTTGCCGGAGCTCATATTGAGGAAGTCAAAGGCCACGACCCTGTCCTCCTCGGCATAGCCACGGGAAGGGTGGTTGAAAGCGCCGACGATGTCCCGCTCATACTTGGTATAAATCTGCTCCGGATAGTTGCGGGCCGAGCCATGTCCCAGCGTCTCGTCCACCGAGGACCGCATCTCATCCGCCATGTATTCCTTGGCTATGTCATAGGTCTTGAGATGACCAGTGTTGGCCAAGGCCGCCAGGCAGCCCCGCTTGGTACGCGAGAAGCGCAGACTCCAGATACTCGACTTGGGAGCGACAACGTTCTTGAACTCCAACGCCGGGCCAGCCTGGCCGGCATCCAGAGGGGTAACCGCCCCCACTGCGGGGGTGATGAAGCGCGAACCGATGCGCCGATCCCAGACACAAATCACCGGATCATTCATCCCCTGACACGAGGCGATATAGTTCTCATCCAGCCAATTGATAGCCAGATTGTGAACGCAGCGCGTGGGGAACTGTAATGACGGGTTTCCAGGGCCCTCTTTGTGTGAGAACAAAATCAGCTCTAAAGGCCCCACCGAAGCTTAAAAAGGATAGCCAAGTAAAAAGACAAAGACAAAAAAGCAGAAACCCACCTCGAAGATCATAGATCCTCACAAACTGCCCTTTGACGCCGGTGACCAGCGTGTCGGGCTGATCCCTGAAGAATTTGATACTGGTGATGGGCTCGGAGCTGGCCAACTTGCGCAGGGGCTCGACGAACCCCTTGGTGGCGGGGGCCTTCATGGTCAGGCGCTGGTTGACGTCCCAGATGTTGAGGCAGAAGTCATTGCGAACGCGGTCCAGGCCGGCGGCCAGCAGGCCGTGGGTGCTGAAGGCGACGGCATTGCAGTAGCGCTGGTGGCGGATGGGGAAGGAGAAGGACTCCTGGGCGTCGCCGGCCATGCGCAGGATGGTCGCGTCGCCCGAGGACTGGCCCACGGCGACCAGGGACTCGTCCATGGGCGACCAGTCGAAGGCCCGGAAGGCGGGCACCTTGGTGTGCGTCGACAGGACCTCATGCTCGAGGCGGCGGTGGCCGTCGAACGCCGTCACACGACACAGGCGGAAGGCCTTGTTCACCACGTCCACGGACAGGAAGCGCTGCTCGCTGGTCGTCGAGGCCGGCGACCACCGAATGGCCGTCTCCATTGCTGCGGTGCGTGCCCGGGCAGGTCCTCCACTCGCGACACCACTTACCCCCTCCCCTTCTGGAAGAGCAGCTAAGCCGATGAAAGTCCGGTTGGCCGATGAGACTGATCAGCGATGATCTAGACTGGCTTTACTCCCGCCTGGTGGGTTAGGATGGCGAAGTGTGAAGCAATCCTGCTGAACCCGGCAAGCCAAATCTGATGCGTCAACGGCAATCCACAAGTGGAATGGTTGGAGGTGGAGGCCAGGGGTCTAGATGTAATAGCCCATGGAGAGCGCCCGCGGCGGGAGTATGTGAATCGGCCTGGCAATCCGACAATCCTACTTGGCCCAGAGACAGCAATGCGCAAGCCTACTGCGCAATCTGCAGGCGGCAGTGGTAAGAATTGCAAGGTCGCGATGCAAGTACACAAACTGAAGTACAGTGTGTAGCCGTAGTCACAGTCATTAAAGTAAACTGAAGTAGTCCGAGTAGTTCCAGCCCATGGATTGGATTAATGGAATGGGCGCGTCATGGCGCTAAACCGCATATGATTGATCGGCTACGGCGCAAACCTCCTCGGTCCGACCGATGATCCGGCCATACTATCAAATCAATCGCCCGATCGAGTAATTTTTTTCTCTCTGCAAGCTGGAAATCACGGGCTGGCACTGCAGATTATACCGACTTTCAAAACAGAACCCATTCCTCTTCGCATTCACAACACCAACAAAAGAAAAAAAAATCAACCACAATGCCCCGCGAATACCAACCCCACCCGCGCCCCAACAAACGCAAACACAGCGGCGACAACGCAGACGACCACCTCGACGAACCCAGCCACCACAGCGGCCACCATCACCATCCCCACTCCCACTCCCGCAAAAAAGTCCTCCTCAAGAAAAACCCCGACTTCACCTCCGTGAACGACCTCAAGAAACGCATCCGCGCCGCCAAGCGCCTCCTCGCCAAGCCCGACCTCCCCGCCGATGTGCGGGTCACCCAGGAGCGCGCCCTGCTGGGCTACGAGCGCGATCTCGAGGAAGAGACCAAGAGCCGGGAACGGTCGAAGCTGATCAAGAAGTATCATTTTGTGCGGTTTTTGGGTATGTTCGCCCCCTAAACCCCTAGTTCCAATGCGTGGATATCGGGAAGAAGATTACTGATTTTGTTTTTGTTGGGGGTAGAACGCAAGACCGCTACCAAGGAAATCGCCCGGCTCACCCGGAAGGAGAAGGAGATTACCGAGAATACGGCTGGGGTTGATGCCGCGGCGAGGGAGAAGAAGCTCGCGTCCGTGGCGAGGAGGCTGCACGTTGCGCGCGTGAATTTGAACTATACGATCTATTATCCGCTTACGGAGAAGTACATTGCTCTGTATGCGGATGTGAAGAAGAAGAATAAGAAGGCGGAGGATGGGCAGGTTGTTGAGGAGAAAGAGCAAGAAGAGGAGGAGGAGGATGCGGCGGGAGCAGCGGAGAGGTCGTCCGCTATGTGGAAGACGGTGGAGCAGTGCATGAAGGACGGCACCCTGGATCTTCTCCGGGACGGCAAGCTGAACAGCAACCAAGACAAACGATCCAAGGTGGCAGACGCCGGCGCGGCGGATGAGTCGAAGAAGAACAAGAAGATCGCGCGCGAGCACCCCGATTCGCACAAGTCGAGCGCAAGGGCCAAGGGCGAGGATCGGAAACACAAGAAGAAGTCAGCCGCCAAGCAGGATGACTACGAGATGCCGGATGCCGGCAATAATGATGGTGGCGATGAGAGTGACGGCGGATTCTTTGAGATGTGATCGAGTGGCTTCTGGTTGTCAGCGTGATGATGCATTTGCAGGAGTTGGTCTCTTTTCCCCCTCTCTTTATTCTTTCTTGGGCTACTTCTTTATCTCATACTTGACGAACTATTTCATAACCCGTCAACATACGATACCCAAATTATATCTGTTATGAATTCGCATCACTAAAGGGGTGGGAGGGCCATAATCTGTTTCGCTGTAGTTCATGAACACCCGGTTGAGCTTACTGACCACAGACACTCTACATGAACTTCAGTCATGTATCAGCACTAAGTCCGACTGGACACGAACAACCATTTATGTAATGCCAACTTAGTGAGGTCCCCAGTGGCCACATTGATACTCAGAGAATCATACGAATATATAAGCAATTCGAAACCGAGGAAATGTCCAATCTTCCTTGCTAAATGACCGACAAATAAACCATCCCAGCCCAACTCCAGTGATCTCCGTCCTCCGTCTATCAACATTCGAGAGAAAGCCAGTGTGCGACGCAGTACAACATTTGCAACACCAGTCCTAACTCCCGAGACAAGAACGCCCAATCCAGCGCAAAGGGAACAACATCAGTGGAGAAGGTAGAAAAAAAAAAAAGAAAAAAGGCAATGCCAACAAAACAACCCCATCGGCCCCGTCCGGTGCAACGCGGATTGTACTGGCTAATCAAGTTCGTATATCGTAGTAGCATGCTCGCCCGATGCGAAAGATGCTTGCAAACGCCCTAGCATGACCAATACCCTGCTACCCGGTTCTCCGTTTCGGACACTAGGACGCTCAAATACTGGCACACACCGAGAACAAAAGGTTGCCAGAACCTTTAAGAAAACGTAAAACCCCTCCGGGGCGTGAGCTCGCTGAAGATTGCACGGTTGCAAAACGAGTGTCCAGAATTGAAGAAGTGTGTGTCAGCGAACCTATTCACATGACTGTGCAGCCAGTGTTGCTGTCTGTGTGGCGACGACGTCCTGCTCCCAGAGCTGAAATGCCTCCGACCCCATATGCGGCGGTCTCTTCGTCGACTTCATTGTAGATTCGTTCCGCCTCGCGGGCTCTGCGTCGTCTCCTGCGCGTTCCAGAGCCGCCAGTCCCCGCCTCTTCGGTCGCGATCATGTATTCGGCCCATTTGCGATCGAGTCGGTTCGCTGCTGCAAGATCACCGCGGAGAACTCGCTTGTTGTGTTCATTCACGGTCATTTGCCAACCATAGAAACACTTAAGGTGGATGATCTCATTCGGATACACAGGGGGAGGGGGAGGAGGCGTGATGGAAGATGTGATCATGGTTGGGGATCCGGGCACCTGGCCTTGATCTACCGTCTGTGCCACAAGCGAGATAGTCTGAGGGGGTTTGCGAGACCGTGGGATGAAGGCGTTGCTTGAGAGCACCTCCTTGACACCAGCCCAGGTCACATTGCCGCAATCGAACACAACTAATCGCAGACCGATCTGAGGCAGGTCCTCGCCGTAGCCCCTCTTGCGTACACGGAGGCTGGCTTCCATCAGAGTCAGATCAGACACTCGGGTGTTGTCCATCTCAACGGAGCGAAGAGAGAGGCAGTTCTTCATGATCGGAAGGGTTCCTTGGTCACCAAGAAGTTCGCAGTAGCTGATGTTGAGATGCTCGAGACGAGGAGCGCATGGCGACTTGGCAAGCTCGATGAGGGTATGGTTGGAGAGCCGAGTCAGCTCTTCGAGTTCAAGGTGAGTAAGACAAGGGGTTGTCTGAATGATAGGAATAACGGAGTCATCAGTGAGCTCGGAGCAGTGGGAGAGCTGGAGTCCCTGCAAGTTGGGCACGTTCCAGGCAAGACTCTTCACACCCTGGTCGGTGAGATCGGGACACTGGTGAATATCCAGATGCTTGAGTCGTCGAGGAGGGACGATCGGGCGATCCAGCAGCACGTCTATTTCCGGGTCAACGCCATGCATTAGAGCCCTCAAACTCTCGTCGGTAAGGTCAGTCCGGCTGATTATCAAACGATCCAGGGTGTTTCGCTCGAATAACTCCGCAGCAAACTCGACATCGTCGAAACCACGGATCTCGCTGGCTCGCAGATCCCTCAACTTCGGACAGGCAACCACCACTTTCTTCAGCCCAGAGGTATCAACACCAGTGCACCAAGAGACGTTGAGGATCTCCAACTGCGGACATGATTGGGCAATTATCTTCATGGCGGAGTTGGTGACGGTGAGTAGTCCTGACAGGTTGATGTATTCTAGACGGGGGTTCCGCAGCAAGAAATAGTGGATCGTGGACTTGTCAACACGGCATCCTTCCAGGGAGAAATTGACCACATTTCGACAGAGATCAGTGATTCGTTCACCATCCGTCCGCCATTGGTCCTTGAGCTGAACACAGCCTCGCAAGTTCAGATCCCGAACGAATGGACCCGCAGAAGTCATCAGTTTCACCAGACCTTCGCTAGGAATGTCGCGGTAATAGTCCGTTGTGTCGACTTCCCTCCAGAGCTGCCCATCGTAGCACATCTTATTCCACGCCCTGGAGACCGCGGCACAGCGGACAATCTCTCTTGGATTGAGGTACCGGAAAACGCGCATCTTGAGTTCGTCCGGCAAACTGCCCCAGAAGTCGAAAACCTTCGGTTTCGGTGACGGCTGGGCAACGGTAGCTTCACTCGTGACGTCTGCCATGCTGATCGCCAATCCACGGGAACCAGGTCGCAGGTCTTGAGGCAGAGGGATTGTCTTCGATTGAGAAGCATTGGGAGATTCAGAGGGAACCATCCGGATGCGAGCAGCACCGTCGAAATAGTCGGACTGAGGGGCCGTGGCCCCGGGGGTCACAGACTGAGCATTGAGCCCCCCGTACAGTTGCGATGAACTCCCATTGCCCAGGCAAGGTGAATAGGCCGTTTGCGAGAGCGAGATGCAGGACAGGGAGGCCTTTCCATCGCGGCGATATCCCGTGGAAGCGGATCGGCCGCGCCTGGTCAGACTCGGGCTGGACGAGATGCGTTGGAGGTTTTGAAGCAATTTATGACGACCCTTGAGTTTCGGTGGTTGTTCCAGTGGGATCTGACCAGACGACGAAGCCGGACTCGAAGGCGAAGGGCTCTCAGAGGTCGATCTGATGTCGTCGGGGATTGCGGTAGCCATGACGGTAATGCGCTTTAGGGCTCTTTGCGGAATACTTCTCGTCGTCAATCGAGGGAGGTCCTAGATCAATGTGGTGACACAACGATATGAACGATCAATGCGACCGAATGCTTTTCAGCGCCAGAACGCAAAATGCCAGAAAGGAGAAGGAATCCTAAATGCTCATAATGACTCCAGCCAGCCGGTCCGTGAGAAGGTTATCTTATCGATTGGCGATAACCGCGATGGTAGACACGCCCCGAGGAGCAGAAAAAACGCCAAACCTCCGTTCCTGCGGATGGACAGGCTGATTGCTCGGGTTGAAAAAGAAGAAAAAGGATGGAAGGGGGATGGGATCACCTGAGCAGCAGAGCAGCAGCAGCAAGCGACGGGAGGGTGGAGGTGGGTTGTCGAGTTGAAGGTTGTCGTTCCGATTGTACCATGGGACTTGACGACCGCGTAACCCGGGGGCCCGAAGCAAGAGCCAGCACCAGCCTGGCCTGCGACCGAAAAGTCAGGAGAGCGACCAGTTGAGTTCAGTTGTGGACGTCACGCAAGCATCATCCACAATAATCCAGGAGGAAGAGAAGTGTCAACGCAACCGGAAGTCTTGCGTTGAGTTGATTGGAGCGAGGTTTGTAGGAGGGCGGGGAGGGAGGGGGGGAGGGGAGGGAAGAAAGGGAAGAAAGGGAGAGAGGATACAGGAGGACTCGATCGGATCTTGTAGGATATACTCCGTCGTAAGTAAGTACGAGTAGGAAGAACAGAGAGCAGTAAATTACTGATCGTTTGTAGTGTGTCAGAAACAAGAAGACAGGAGAGAAAGAGAAGGAAGATTGTCAATCCCGACTATAGAATCACGTAAGGTCTGGTCAGCCGACAGAAAGGGCGAGCCACACGGGTCTTTAATGGTCTTTAATGTTGACCGAAATATAATTGCTCAGAGGGAGTGGCTGTGACAAACAGAAAAGAGTCGAACAATGATAAGGCTGCGAATAATAGCACTGGTCGACAAACCCATACCCTCCATTCTTACCCCACAGGTGTGTGTGAGAGACTCGGAGAGAGAGTGTGTTTCTCTTATCGGTGGGTGTGGACGGATTCTCACTTATCGATTAGCGATTAGCTCGCCCCACTTGGTCTGTGACAGTTCAGTCACCGTTATTACCGGGTCAGATGGCAGGTCTGCGATCAGGAGGTGGCCAGGCATGACTTCTTCACATTCGAGATAGACAAGAAGATAACAATAACCAAAACTTCAATCAGCGATGGTCATCTGGTATGACATCGAATTAAACCCTCACACTTGAGAGCAAGCAAGCGTCGATCTAAGCGAGATGCCCGTCAGACCGAACAATTACGGTACCCGCAAGTACGGGCGGGCCGTATGGTACATGTACATGTCCATGTCCATGTCCCGATGGAGAACGAAACAAATGCCTCGTCTCCTCCAGAGTCCACCAGTCCAGTCCAGGCCACAGACAAAAACAAACAGCCATCACAATTGATAGTGGAGGAGCCTATTCCCTGTTCCTTGTCCGCAACTATGGAGTGATTGGGCAACAGTCCGATCAACAGACTGGGCTATTCTTAACAATTCTCCTACCCAGTACCCACCTATGCATAGGTACAGGTACACCAGCCACTCCGCTGCATTGATGGATTGACATTTAAACCTCCTCCTCCTCCTCCTCCCTCGACACCACCCTCAAACGCTCCAAGTAATATGACCCATCCCCCAAACACACCATAATCGCATCGCCTCCTCCCTCCATTCCCAACCAACGACATCAGGAACAAACCCACAACACAAACCAGCCAAGCCCATCCCATCCCCACACTTCAGAGGCAAATAACTTAGCGTAAGCAACCACACACACACACACACACACACATACACTCCCGAAAACTCCGACCAAGCCGGGAAATCGGATCACTTGCACCAGACAGTAGCAGTAGCAACAAGAAAAATAAAAAAATTCAGCCGGCTTCAGGTTCCGATTCCGGGTTCCCCCCTTTCCTCCCCCTGCAGCGTGACAAGGCTAGGAGATTGAGCTGCCAGTTCGGATCGAAGATATTTGGCAAGTACTGTAGATCCATGAATGCAGTGCAAAGCGTTTAGGACTAGTTGCACAGTAACTACGGAGTACAATACTCATGGTTGGAAAACTCCATATACCTTAGTTCACCTCACCCCTTCACCCCATCCGGAAGAAGTACTCCGTACCTGTCACTCGTACGCATACGAGTAACAAGCCCCGACCAGAAGAAAAAAGAAAGAAAAAAAAAGAAACCGTCCGTCCTAAGGGAACTTCCGACCACCGAGCCTAGTGGAAGGGGGAAACCAAAAGAGCCTACCTAGGGAGGGGGAACCAACCTCAAGGGGGAGGGGGGGGGCGTGGGGAACTTGAACCCGGAATGAATGCCCACCACCTCGGTGCAGTGAATCAGTGCCTCCAGATTGTTTGCCCCCTCCTCCTCCTGTCTGTACGAGGGAAAACAAACGCCACCCAAAAGCGGAGAACTGGCTTTTGCGTCCACGGCCACGCCTCCACAGTAAGTACTGTACCTATCTTACTGGCTCTGACGGAAACTTTTTTTTGGTGGCCGCGACTGGCTGCCTCTTTGTTCCTCGAGAGTCGAGGCGGATTGTTGAAACTTGAGGGGGGGGGGGGGGGAAGCTGGGGGCCCCCGGGTTTTTTTAAATTAAACACAAAACAGAAGTAAAATCCAACTTCGTGAACTTACTGGGTTGGGTAATTCAAGGTTGGTCATTCCGCTTTCCAGATATGATTGATCGGATGTGGAAGACGTCGAATGATTCTGTTAGGGGAAAGAAAAACATTCCTGGCACTTTCTAACTCACGGCCGGGGCCTCTTCGTCCCTCATCTTTAAGCCAAGTGCTTGCTGCCATGGATCCAATTGGAACTTGGAAAGCTGTCTCCCACATGGCAACAAGCCAAGACCACTGCACTCAGCCAGTGGCCCAGTGCGAGCTCTAGGCTACCTAGTAATTCACCACCCTAACCAACTTGGCTAAGTGCCGCCGTTTTAGTAGAATTAGATTAATATACCGACGGACTAGCCCCAGTTCCCCCGCTTCCATCCCCCGCACTTTGGTCTCGAACAGATACTCACTACGATAAGAAGCAAAGGAAAAAAGCGTCAATGCGACACAGTTCAATCACCGAGTGCCTTCCTCAAGATGTCTTACTGTCCTGTCACAATGACTAGTTTCATGTCTCATCTCTGTGTATTGGTCTGTCTCACTGTCTATCATGACTGTAACCCAATTGCAGGAAGCTTAATTTACCCTGTTCTGTTCCACAGCATATGAAATTCCAATGCCGTTGCGACGATGGGTATCAACACAAGAAAAAAAAAATCAAACAAGTTCATCCAATACATGCTGTTCTCTGCCCATATTTTGTTCCCAGGCCATGCACGCAAAATAGCTATCGAATCCGGTCAAAACCAAATTGCAAAGTTAAACAAAGAGTATCTTCTTTCTAGCCAAAGAGAAGAATTATATGATGATGATGATAATGATGATGATGATGATAATGGCGTTGGTGATAGTGATGGTGACGATGGGGTATCTCAGCCGCTTAGACCTTCTGTACACTCTGACCACTTCAAGCACTGTGATCCACGACATCCAAAGACGCCATGTATCCTGGGTCCATTCGTGGTTGCTCCTCTCATGGGAACCACACGATTTCACCAGTGTAAAGGATGCTTTTTATGTTTCAAGGCGGCTGAGTTCGTGTCCTCTGCACCTCCAATCGCTCCGAGTGACAACAATCGAGGTCGTTGCATTCCGATTATCCATGTAGAATGAAGGCGAAAGTAGAATGGAAACAGTTGCTGTATGTGTAATCCAAGATGATTATTCGTTATGTATCGCTGACTCAGAGAAAAGACCACTTGCCCCGTGCGTCGCTCAGTTGTCCGCCATCCACGGGTGCTCTAAGACTTCGCTGACAGTCAACCGATTGTCGACATCTCGGTCAAGCATTCTTCGAATCAGGTCGATGCAATCCTCGGAGAAGGGCAAGAACGGGACCCGAAGGGGGTGGTCGAGGATTTCGTCGACATTGTAGAAGGGGTTTTCCTTGTAGACGATGGTATACAGGAGAATACCCAGAGCCCAGATGTCTTGCTCTTTCCCGCGATAGGATTTGCCCTGAAGGACTTCGGGTGCTGCATAATCTGCAATGGTGTCAGAAAATCAAAATCAAAGGGCGGTGTTGCTGGTAAACCCTACCAATTGTGCCTACAAAGACATCGAAAGGCCCGTTCTTGATATAAGCGGCACTTCCAAAGTCGATCAGCTTGATTCGCCCCTCACCGTCCAAGATGACATTCTCATCCTTGATGTCCCGATGAACCACAAGAGCTTTGGTATGCAGATGATGAATGGCAGACACGACCTGTCGAAAGATATTCTGGCACTCTGACTCATCCATGTTGACCTTCAGTTCGATGTAGTCAAACAGATCCATGCCGGGCAGGCCATGTGGGGTCATCTCAATGTAATAGTTGATGTCGTCCTCGAAGAAACCTTCCATTTCCACAATATTAGGGTGCTTCAACCCGTCTCGCCGAAGGAAGTCCAACACGTGAATCTCTAGCGGAACTGTTCCTAGACGACGGTCCCGAGTCCATGTATCAACAAGGATCCGCTTCTTGGTGACATACTTCAAGACAACTTTCTTCGTGGGGATCTTCTTCAGGCGGGCAAGTTTGACTTCTCCGTACGCCCCTTGGCCCATCTCCTCCAAGATAGTATAATCGGCAATGGTACGTTTCTTCGGTGTTTCTTTCGCGCTAGTCGGTCTCACTTCGGGCACCGGCTGAACAGGCTTGTCTGTCAATGGCTGGGAAGCAGCTTCGCTCAGCTGCTGGCTCAGGGTGGACGTGGGTATTTGGCTCTCAACCGACGTCTGTTCATTTATATAAGGATGCGGGCTGGAGATCGGCGTTGGCGTGCCTGACACAAGGACTGCCGAAGGGCTCTCAGCGCCAGACGGCACCGATTCGAGGGGAGATGGGATGTTGGACCTCGGGGCTGCTGAGTGGATGTGACGCGAATACGTCACCCACAAAGCATACACGAGTTCGGTGACTGCGATAGGAGCGTCATGCTCGGAATCTGACTCATTGACCTCCTCAATAGATTCTTTCCGCGGCTTGGTGAAGATGGTGCCGCTCTTGGCCACCCGCAATTGAACGTCGACCGCTATTGAGGACCCGTCGCGATGGGTGGCCGCAAGTCCAGATGGCTCTAGTAGAACGGAAACAACGTGAGCTTTTCCGCCGTCCCGGAGAATTGACAAGGTTCGCGCTCTGCGGAAACTGGGTTCAGGAATCACGATGCCGTCCACAAGAGGAACCCGTTCCTCCTCGACAAGCACGTTCAACAAGTCATCGAAACCAGGTATCAAGTCATTGATGTGCAGGCCCTCGGGCCGCTCATGACCAAAGAGCGCTGCGGAGAACACAGAATTGGAGCTGACAATCTTCAAAGTCGACGAGGATAGGACCATCATGCCCGCAACATGAGGAAAGCTCGATATCCGAAGAGACCTGTTTCCTTCTCCTTTGGTAACTATGGTGGGAATGCAGATACCGGCAGTTGTGCGAGAAGCAAAGTATTTGGTCTCAGCCACTTTCGTGAGGCCTGTGCGCATGGAGCCAGCCAGACAGTCCTCAGGAAGGCGAGGCAGGAGTTCTGTAATCCGTTCTCCGGGCTTCACCGCACCGTGACCCCAGATCTTGTCCACATCACCGTCGACCTTCACGATATCCCAAGACTCGTTGCAAGTGACTGTCACGACATCCTCTTGAATCTCCTCAATAACCCAAATCAAGCCCCCTCGTTTCTCCATCACCCAGATGCTAGCGGACCCTGTTTTGCCGTCGCGCTTCTTGATAGGCACAACATCCCCACAAAGAAGCACCCCGCGGGATTTGGTCGGAGGATGGTTCAACTGTCTCGTGCTAGAGCCATAACCATCGTCGGTCTGCGCTCTCCGGGGAGGCCTTGCTCGAGAAGGCGGTTTACTCAGCAGCTGTGCTGTCACGCCGTTGCCCATTCCCATTGATTTGGTATTCGCGGGCTTGGAACGCGTTCGTTCCGGCGAAGATTTGAGCTTTGCCGCCGCTTCAGTGCAAGGGTCCCGTAATTTGGATTCAATCCAATCCCGCCGGTCTTCTTGTACGACCTCCAGTATACTTAGTTTGCGGAGTTCCCCTTGGGTGACACCGAATATGAGACACGAGATATCATTCGCTGCCAAGATAGTCCACGGCTCCTGCGATTCGGTCCGGAACACGGCCTGCGATGCTGGTGTCCACTTGCTGCTGTGGGTATGTAGCACAGGCACGGGAAATCCGTATCCAAAGGTTGAGGAGCTGGTTGGAGAAAAGGGGTCGGTGGTTGTATAGGGTGCTAGAGTCTCCATCAGCTTGCCCCGGATAGCGGTAGAACCGATTTCGGTGTTAGTACGTTTTTTAATGCTTACGCGCCTAGATGAAGAGTGTGACCTCAACTCCTCCTCCTGCTGCGATCTCGGGTCATCCGCTCCCTGCCCTGAGTAGCGCAATTGAGCCCCCATCGAGCCATATTCCGCAGGTCTCTCTCCAAACCTGCCGGCTGCAACTTGAGGGTCTGTAAAAGCTCTCTCAAAGATGTTATCACTATCCACATTAGCAGGGCCGGTTTGCGGACCACGCGTCAAACCTGCGAAGTGAAATCGGTCTTCCTTGGCTAATACATTCGTTCTTGTCGAGATATCCACCACGCTCTGCGTATCCGAGTCACCGCCAGCGCGGCCTTGTACAGCAGCCAATGCAGGGCTATTGCCGGTAGCCCAGCCGAAGCGGTCGCGCATGAAATCGATCGACCTCTTCAAGATATTATGCCGATTGTGAAGCAATTCCTCGGATTTCTGGGCAAACGAGAACGAATGCAGCGACTCGCAAGGGAAGCGATGGAGGTCCTCCAGGGTCTCAATGTCGTCACTGGCAAAAAGGCGAGTGGGATGGGCTCGGGACGAGGAGGCGGAACGCGGGGAAGGTGAATGACAGCGCGAAGCCACTGGGCCAAGCGACGAGGCGGAAATGTTCGGAAGGGTGAATGCTCGCGATGAAGGTTGTTGACGTATGCGATCTAGACCTGATGGGCCAAGTCCATGTTCATGATCCAGCAGAGAAGATCTGTGAAGGGAGTTTTGAAATCTCTTTTTAGTCCCTATCTGCAGATTTGCACTAATGCAGAAAGCTGCTGCCGGACAATGCAAGGGTCGGCCACCTACCTCGAGAGATGGTCGAAGTTGGACGAGACACTCTCCGCGGAGTATCTCATTGAATCATCGGTATGGGTCGAGAGGCGTCTGATGAAGTGATCCGACTGAGGCGACTGTGAAAGGGGTCCCAACGGAGATGATAACGGACTTGGATCATCTAGAAATCCTCAGCGCGAGGTTAGCTGCATGTCTTTCACTTTCTGAGTCCCTTCTCTCGTCTCTGCTTCCCTGCCCCCTCCTTATCTTTGGTTTGAGTCGTTGTCTACCCATTCAGAAGCATTGATCCCGGGATGGGGAATGAAGTGGCTGAATTGTTCCGAGATGCATGACGAAAAATGTGGATAATGAGCGGCAGTGTCGGTCCTTCCGATATGGGAGTCTTAGTGACTGGCCAGGAAGTCGCTTGGCATTCTTTTGTTTGGCGGCGCATTCACACTTCGCTTCGAGAATCACTGCCGATTTGGAGCTCGGGGCTGGGCGCTTTTGGGGGTCGACAGTCGTCGTTCGTATACACCTACCACATACGCTTCTCGGAACCAGGAACTTTCACATGCCGATGCTGATACAACTGAAGTGGGCAGGCAGGAGGGCTCGCAATGCTAGGAAAGGACACGGGGACAAGAAGAGGATGGGAAAGCGTGGAGAAACCTGGGACCTGGGAGACTAACCGTCAAGATCGTAGGACGAAGAACCCATATTTCCCCAAGATGGTGATAATTGTAGAAAAAACAGCACCGATCGGACCGATTGATAACAAGCGGTTCAACCCGGCGCACCTGGCAGGAATAACGAATAGAGAACTAGGGTGCGAAGAACAATGTTGTTTATTGCTACATGGGATCACAACATGTGAAACATGGAAAAGATTGTTCTCTTTTCGGGGAGATCAGGGAGGTGGGTAGGAGGAGGAGGAGGGGGGGAGGGGAGGGTGAGTTGTAGGAGAAGGAGAGGTGAATTGATAGGAAATTTTTCTTGCGCGGGTTGTCCTGCAGACGGGGGTGGGTGGAGGGTGCGTTGGAAGTTTGACGTGTTACTGCGAGGGACAATAGATTTTTTTTTTGCACAGGATGATCGAAGGCCTCCTCCCGTCCACGCCTTGAGTGCAATGGGGTGAAGGACTATGCAGCAATTCGATCAGTTGTTGCTGCAGTAGAATGAATTGGTAAGGGGTGGTTTAAAAGGAAGGTGAGGAGGTCAGAAAAAATTGTCAGCGGACTGCGGGCGGAAGGACAAGAGGGCAGCTGCCTCGTGAGGTCACAGGTACCATACACCTGCGAACGAGGATGGCGAACGAGGGCGTGCACGCGGGGAAGAAGAAGAGTGAGGTAAAAGAGAGGGGGAGAAGAGGGGGAGGGGGGGGGGAAGGGGAAGGGCGAGAGAAGGAAGGATGTAAGTATGTCGGTTTGTCTCGGTGGTAGTGGGAGTGGTAGTAGTAGTAACTTAGTGGTGGTGTTTTGTAGTCAATTAAGCTAGAGAAGAAGGCCAATAAATGGCCTGTGGGGTTTCAGGAGGTGAACCTCTTGAGTGAGTGAGTGGAAACGCAGAAGAAAGATAATAATAAGTTAATAATGGGCACCGCCAACCAGCCAAGGGACGGAAAGGAAATAGTCACGCCCCCAAATGTGGGTTCTTTGGAGAGGCAGAGAGGGAGATTCGAAGGAAAAAGGAAATTTGGGAGAAGGGCGGGAGAAGAAACTAACGATACTATAACTATGCCCCCATGAAGTGAGGGAGGTGGTGCAGTGAGTGGATTAGGGAAAAGGGAGGGAAAGAAGGAGGAGGAAGAGGGAGAGAAAGGTGGGTAATATAGTAGTGGGGACAAGAAAGGCAGCTTACGGGCTTGCTGGCTTGCTTGAATTGAAGCTATTGTTGTTAAGATAGGTTAGTTAGTTCACTTGTGGTTGACGATGCGGTCGATGTGTGTGTGTGTCTATGAGTACAGTAGTTACGGAGTACTGGAGGAATGATGAATGACGTCCGGGGAAACTAAGCAGAAGACTCATTCCAGTTCCGGTTCTTCTGACTTCGGTGCTTTTATTCCCCCTGGGGATTGATCCTCTTACTTCACTTCCTTTTATAGGAATTGTTTGGGTTTCCCATTTCCTCTGAAACCCTCCATCTGGTCCTTTCGTGGCCTTGAAACACGAGGGGATGGATTATCGCTCAATCCCGACCCGGTGATAGCTTACTTACTCAAGTAGGTGAGACCTCCTCAAGCTGCAATGAAGCTGAAGAGACGAAAACAAGGCCATTGAATGCGAATAAATTACAATGAGGGGACAAGTTGGGCGGGAATGATATGGCACGGTCGCCCCTCTCCTCCGGGATGTCTGGAGTTCCGTACTTTTAGCTACCTTAGCTTCTACTCATAACTCATACATGCCCAGTGGTAAGAACGGGCGCATGGCGGACCCCAATGGGTTCAACCGATACGCTAATGCAGTCCCTCTCAATTGAAGACCCCCCCTCCCTCCCCCTCCTTCCCCTTTCTTGAGCCCAATACGGCTAAGGAAAGACTATGCAGTGCTCAAGCTTCATGCTGCTGATGGTGATGTAATTATGAGTAGTTAACAAGTTCACTGGAGGAAAATAGCAATGAATCAATCCAGAAAGAAGCACACAGTGCACAGTATGCTCCACAATGCCCATCGATCTGTCAGTCATCGCACGATTCCTCTCCTACCCCTCCTCTGCCTCCCCTCCCTCAAAATGCCCATTCATTTCATCCATCTATCTCAAGTCCGACTCTAACTAAGATGTGAAATGCTTGGGGTAGGCTTGGCTGACTAACCGAAATAGCTGTCCCCTCCATGGCCCATGGATGGTCAGACTCTCTCAGCTGTAGTCTGTGGTCTGTAGATCACGACCAACTATTCGAAATTGAGATTGATTGGGCCACCAGACTGGAAATTGCAGATCCACCAGCGTCACTGGGCATGGTCAATCCCAGCTCGCATTTGCTTTCCTAAGATCGCTGCATTTTCTTGTGTCCTTCTTGCAGGTATGACTCGTACATGTTTCTCCCTGGGCCTCAGGAATTGAGAACGGACAAGCGCCTAGGGGTCGATTCGTAATAACCACTGATCCAAAGTCAGGTACGTCAGATACTGTACCTGAGTGCAGAGTAATTTAGCCATGCCTACCGGACCCAGCTGGTACATAGTATGTCAGTCGAGTCAAAGCTTGCCCCAGCAGCAAGGCTCGTGCTCAGCGCATAACTGGTGATTTTAGGGTGGCGAAACACCTTCCAAACCACTCTATACGTGCGCAAAGCCCAAACAGCATGTAAATCCCACGTCCCACTTCCTCCTCCGATGGTGGATACATATGTTGAAGAAGAATAAGCCATTACATGCTAAGTAATTCACCGCTAAATGTCCATTGCTTAATGTAACACCGGTTTAGATTGCCGCGTGCACCGTCGGGTCTCTCATGGTTTAGGTCCACGGAGACTTCGCAGGGCCAGACCATCCGACTCGATCTCGGCGCCGGGTTTGCCATGCTCTTCGTCCCCATTGCCAAAGAGGGAAGCTGGTTTAGACCGCGGGCGACCTTCTCCGTGACGAGTCTGCTCCGGAAGTACAGATGCCGGGCTGACAAAGCTCGAGAGATGTCGCTTGCCGCCGAGCATCCATGAGAATTCCGAGTCGGCCAACGATGGCCGAGATACATGTCGGAGGGGCATGGAAGTGGAAAACTGTGGGCTGGTGGCGGTACTGCGGTTGACCTTCGTCCCAACGCCAATGGGAGATCTGGGTGACTCGGCAGATGTGCTGGTCCGGTGGGTAAAAGTGGAGGCGCGATCTGCCCCATCGTTTGCAATTTTTGCGCTGTCACTGGGAGCTTCAGCAGCTTCAGGGGGCGTCTCGGATTCGGCATTACTATGCTCGCTCGGGGATCGATCGGCAGCGCTTAAGGGGATGTTGTGGTCTTCCAGACAGCTTTGAATGCTTTGAACCTTATCGAGAGCCTGCGCCAGAGTGTCCTTGTCGCTGCTGTCCATATTCTCGGCTTTGTTGACATGAGAGCGTATGTCCTTCAGCGCCACACTTAGCAACTTGGCGAGTTCTCTATTCCGCCCCTCCAATTCCTCGATCTTCGCTTTCAACTTGGATGTATCATCGGAAGCACGATCCCAAGGAGTGCCCAATCCCTGGCTTTGATTCTCGTATCGTGTCCCGCGATGCTGATGTTCCGACTGAATAGACTGCATGTTTCGTTTCGCTTCGCTCACTGCGCCTCGAACGGCTTTGGCGACTCCCCAGGCCTCTGTTCGGCGCTGAATACCCTCCGATACGTCCTGGAATAGCGCTTCGAGGCTCTTCGGACTATTTCTTGCGGGTGACCTGGAAGGAGAGCTGACCTCACTCAGATCCCTAGATGCACTTCGCAGGCGAAACTTCCCTTTAGAGGGTTTGGCACTTGGTTGTCCAAGTCCTCTCGACAGATCCGGCGGTCTACCGGAATACTTCGAGATGATGAATAGACCTCTCTCTGGGGTGGGGTTTTGCTCCAGATATATCCCGTCGTAGACAAAGGTCAGCGGTGAATGGGGGTCGGGGGCTGGATAGCGCAGCAAGATACTCAAAGCGCTCGAGGAATCAGCGCTCAGTACTGGAAACTATCAGCACATGGACTCGCAGCACTCATCACCAATCGGGAGTAGGGAGTATCATTGTATCATTTCGCAAGGGGAAGGGGTTCTCACGCTGCCAACGGATTCGCAACAGCATTGCAACGCAAACATATTCAATGAGCTCTGGGCGTAGTCCTTCTGCAAAGAGTAGATCCCAGATTTGAAGAACGTCTTGAAAAGCGAATTCGCGCCCGAAGAGAAGACGCATCCAGCGACTTCACATCATATCAGTTTTGTGCTCCCCATTTGAATAGATGCATGACTTACGTCAAAAAGATCTGTGGTAATATCTCAAGTGCCTGCAAGTGATCCGCAAGCTCGAGATCTGCCGTGACCAGGAGTTCATTGTGGAGGCGCTGACACTGATGCACAATTGGAATAACGTCCAACTGACCATTGGCCGATCGAGTCCTATTGTGCTCGTAATACACGCGGACATTCTGCATCACTGAGCAGAACAGCGCAAACGAATCATGCTCCACATAGTTGGCATCGAGAAGTTGAAGCATCGCGTTATCGACCGGTTTCGTTTCCCTGGTATCTTCGAGTGGGTTCGTCTCGATCGCATCCCGGTCGACCACCCACAAGAGAGGCGCCAATATCTCATGCATGCCTTGCCGATAGCCTAGGTCTGGGTTGAGTTTCGCATAAATGAATAGTATATCGATCATCTTCGCCTTGGTGATGGGCTCCCGGAAGAAGAAGTTCTCCTGTAAACACCGATCCACATCCTGCGAGATATCCGCTCTTGTCTGCTCATCGTTCCGTAGAGTTTGCCATGGGGACTATGAAATCAACATCGTGTCAGTTCACCGCGATCTCAAGGGCCATGACAGTATACTGGTGAGTACCTCCACATCATCCGCCAGCGGGTCAACGGTCGATTCCAAATCGTCCGGGTGGTCAATATATTTCAGGAAATGGGCCTTCAAGGCGACGTAGGCGCTTCGTGAATCCGAGAGCTTCTGCGGCCACTGTGCCCGATCCAGATCGTCGAAAAGCAGGAAGGCCTACACCCCCAAGGTAAGCGACAGAAATTACAATATAGCAGTAGCAGGCG